TATCTAGGTCTTTTTCTGAAGGTATCGGCGAAGTAATGCCGCTAGAAATGGAAATTTTGTAGGCTTAAGTTTCTTCCGTTTCGTTTACGATCACTTGAACGTCTGGATTTTCCACCGAGTTCAGATTCGAACTTGTATAGTAAGGACAGAAGGCCTACGGCCTATGTTATTCCTTTTCTAGTATGCTTCTGTGGGTGTCCACTCTTCTCTAGAATAAGTCAACTGAAAGTAGGGACATCACTGCTTCGGGCGACAGATTCCAAGTATTGATAACTCAGTGTGGGAACCTGTATGACACGGGTATTTTGTTCGTTCTTGGCTCTTCTACTCGCCTGCAATATCCTCTGAGATGTCTCAATCTAATGGGATGAAAAATAGAGAATAAGTTAGGTCCGAAATCATTTCTCAGTATTCTGTACATCAAAATTAGATCTCCCATTAGTCTGAGATAGGACAGAGTAAAGAGGTCCAGTTTTTCAAGCCGCTCTTTGTATGATAAACCCCGGAGTTCCGGAATTGCACGGGTAGCTGCCCTCTATACTTTTTCTAGTATGTCCGAGTCACCTTTCAAGCAGGGGCTTGCAGCCTGAGCGCAATTCTCTAGCTTAGTTTTCACTAAGGGTGTGTATAATGTGGTGAACATGGTAGTATCTAACTTAGTGAATGTCCTTTTTAAAGCCCAGAGGGTTCGAAACCTCTTAGCTGCGACCTCCCGGCAATGGGCTGTCGTTTTAGGATCATTACTCACTGTCACCCCTAGATCCTTATGAGACTGGACTACGGGTAATGACACATCCCCTATGTTGTACATATTAACCTTTGAGTCTCCCAAGTGTATGTAGACACACTTTTCCGCGTTGATAGGCATCAGCCACTCTTTAGACCAGTTTATCATATTATTTAAGTGTACCTGAAGAGCACATGCGCCTGTGGCTCCAGTTATTACTCGCCAAATTTTTACATCGTCAGCGTATAATAACTCTGGAGACTGTACTATACTTGGGAGATCATTAATATGCAGCATTAAAAGTAAAGGACCTAAGACGGAACCTTGGGGTACTCCACTAAGTACTGGTCTCCAGATGGAGCACTTGGAATTTATCCTTACTTTCTGTCTACGACCTTCTAGGAAATCCTTAATCCATTTTAAGAGGAATCTGGCAATATAAAGGTTTTCCAGCTTCAATAGCAGTCTTTTAGTTGGCACTTTTTCAGAAGCCTTACTGAAGTCTATGTAGACAATATTCATTGCGTTTCCGTTGTCTGGCACCTTTATTCAATATTCCCCTGCTATAAGGAGGTTCGTTGTACAAGACAAACCCTTTCTAAAACCATGATCGCTTTTTAACGGGTTATTGTTCTCTGCAAATGTCATTATGGTCTTTTTGCCTATTCTTTACAATATTTTAACTACAAAACTGGTGAGGCTTACGAGTATGCAGTTCGATGGAAGTTGTTTCGGCCCTGTTTTATGTATGGGAGTGACGGTTGCGTCCTTCCAGTCCATAGGTAACACACCTTGGTCAAGTGACATGTTGAATATCACATTCATCGGGGCCGCGGTATATTGCGCAATATGTCTCAAGATTTTGGGGGTGTAGTTCATCTGGTCCTGTTGACTTCTTCATGTTTAAAGTGCTAAGAGCCTTAAGCACATCGTTTTGGTGGAAGTCCACGGTGAGCAGGTGGTTTGTCGACTGTTTATTTTGGTCTTGTTCTTTCTCTCGAGGAGGTTGCTGAGTGAAAGCTGCCCAAAAATAGTTTGTAATAGCCTCTTCTTTTTCCTGATTTTCCTCTATCATTTTAGATTCACTCCCTTCTTTAATTAGGTTGAGAATCCAATGATGCACCCTTGTCCTGTAGTTTGTGTACGAATATATCCTCTTAGGCTGCTTGAGTGCAGACTGTGCCGACTGCATTTCATGGTTTTTTTGAGCTTCTCGAACTTTAATTATAAGCTTTAATTATACACCGGTCTGCAACGTTCCATTGTATTTAGTGTGCCGAGGCGGATGGCAGCATCCCAACATTTCTTCTTTTGTCTTAGTAAACGTCGAATATCACGGCCTATCCAGGTATGGGCGTGCTTCTTCTTTGGAATTATCCAGGGTATGTATGGTTGAGTTACCCGATTGTACAACTGCCTGCAATAAGTCCATGGCTCTTGTACTGAAGCCCTTGAGTCAATTTCTCAGTTTTCACCCGATGCTGAGGAGTTGATTGCCTCCATATCTGCTTTCCATATAATGGGACGTGCCGGCGCAACACTTTGACAGGCAATCTCAGCCATGAATTTGAACAATATGACTGCATGGTCACTTCTCCCGAATGGTGGGAGAAAAGTCATTTGACCGACGTCATCACGGTGTAAGAAGACTGAATCCAAAAAAGAAGAGGATCTTCTTGAGTCATTTCTTGTGGGATTTCTAATGTTTCGGAATGAAACTAATGCAATCGAGGTTTTTAACAGTTTGCAATAGGATGACGTTATCAATGACCTGACCTCTAAATTAACCCAGTTTATATATGGTGCATTAAAATCGCCTACTATAAGGCTTTTATCCCTCTTACATCAGGACTTATGTTTGCTTAGTAGGAAATCATCCACTACGCATTCTGGACCGCGATATACTACAATTAATTCAATATCTTGGTGTCTAAATTTCAGCTTGCATCGCACCAGCTCACATGTTCTTGAATCATGTGCCACTGTCGCAACTGTTCGTATGGTTAGGGTGCCTTGAGTGTACAGGATAACACCGCCTCCCCTACGGTTTAATCTATCAGCCCTACTGGATAAAAAACCATTCAACTGAATTTCATTGTCTAATACTTTTGACGTTAACCATGTTTCTGAGGCAGGAATAACATCTGGTTTACCTTTATCCATCATTGTCTTGAGCTCCACCTGTTTATTTAGTAGGCTGCGAGGATTTGTGTAGCATACCTTTAAGTCTGTGGAGAACATTCCCCTACCACCCAGAGTGGTTTGGGGATCGTTTTGCTCCGATCTTTGACAATTTGAAAACCCTTAGGAAAAAGGTTGATTTCACCATTTCGGCGACGCTCATTTATTTCCGCTTCTGTAGCCCGTCTCTTAATACGATCAGCTTGGCTGAGATCCTCACGGACGTATATTCCGGATCAATCCAGTTTCAGAATCCACTTTTGTCCTATTCTATAAAGCTTACAGATACTGGCATTTGAAACTGATTCTGGGAATAGCTTGCTTATTAAGGACTTAATATGACTGAGATCGTGTTCAAATCTAGCCTTTGGTTCCTTATCGGAAGATTCTCTTAACTTATGAAAAATTAGTGACCACTCAGCGAGGTCCGTCTTGACACAGTGTGGAATTTTATTTCCTGAAGCCGTCTCCTCCTTGCAATCTGATTTTAATTCAGCGTCAAACGCAGAGATTTTATTCTGTTTTCTTACTTTTATTTTCCTTGACGTGACTGTGAGCTCCTTCTTTCTCCTTGTAACAATGCCTACATTCATAAGCTCCTCTGCTTCCTTGAGGAGGTCCACCTAAAGCTGAGCTCATAATAACGCTCCAAATTTCCTCGAAAACAGTGTTCTGTTCATCTACTGCTACCTGTTTACCAATTTCCTAGCTGTGTTTAGCAGCTCGACCGCCTCTAGAATCAGTAGAGAAATAGCAGAACAACATTCTTCACACAACCAACGTGGTAATGGCTTACAGCACCATTTACATGCAGCCGGTGTGAGTCCGGTGCACACATTTTGATACCACTTATTGACGTTATCACATTTCATCCCCTCATCGACCGGGAAATAGCATGCTGGTCTACCACAATGACGTTTCAATTGCGCCATAGACTTGTTTTATGTTTATATATAAATAAAATAAAAAAACAGTAAAAAATTGGACCTCAATAGTGACAGAAAGACCTTCACGCCTATGGATACAAACAATGCTCAAAGATATATTCAGCGACGAAGAATGAGTACCAGTGCCTTTCGTATCTTACGTATCTGTACTCGTTGAGTACAAATGACAGGCTGAACTAGAGAAAAAGCGGTACTCTTGAGAATTACTTCGACCAAAAGATTCAATTAAAGCAAAACAGTAGTCTTCATGCCTAATTTAACGATCAGTACTATAAAAATTACTCAGAGGAAAAATATCACTGTTCCTTTTGAACAGCGCGCGGTGAACAGTTAAACACTATTAAAATAAGTAAAACCGTCCCCTTTCTACTCGTACGTTAAGTTTGATTGAATCTTCAGCGCAGTACGAATCCCAAGGATTAATGTAAGTCAATGAACCGTCTGTCTTTTGAAATTTGAGACGGCGCCATGCATCTTCTCCTTGTTGACCTTCACAACGAATAAATAGGTTGAGCGTTGTCGTTTGCTAAGTTGGCCTGCCCCTTTGACTGTAAGCATTTACAAATTTGGTAAATTTCCTTCGGTTCTTAATGGTCGTCATAAGTTTACTGTGTGTCAGTAATTGGGGATTTCAACACTTTGTTCGGAAGATGTCAGTTCACGATGCGTGGTAATGAAATAAACTCGAAGGGCTGTGCTCAGAGTTAAGTGATATCTTTCTGTATAAAAGTTTTTAAACATCCATCTCTACATAGCGTTTCGCTGGAACTTTCGAAAGAACGATGTGTTTAATACTCAACTGATCACGTGCTCATATTTTTTTCGAATCGATTAAAAGCTGCTCCGTCTAAAACTTGTTATATGTGGTTGTGTGGTTTAAACCTCAATTATTTGATGATCACTCTTCTCAAATGGTCACGTTACCGTTTCAGTTTGTCAGGACTGAACTTTCATTCCATCCAGTAAATTACATAACACTTATGGAATCAAATGAGAAGCATTTTCATGCACCAAATATATGTATTTCAGTTGACTAGTTAAGCTTTAATTAACAATGGCTTCCGTGTTTTGCCTTCTAGATTACTCACCTCTAAGCATATTACTTGTGGACGCGATACGAAATCACCTCAGATATTTTGTTTCTCATGTATGCTCTTGATAAGATGGGAGATGAAGAAATCAATTTGAAGGAGGCTCTCATCAGGTCCCTAAACGAAGAGGGTATTTTACCAAAGCTTGAAGTACCTGTGTAATGTTGATAACGTTTCGTTACTAGGCTCAGCTAAAGGCAGCAGTGTACTTAGCTCTGGAAAAGCACAACTATGCCGAAGGAATACCGCTTTCAAATCAGTCCATTCGGTCCTTATGGTCTACAGAAGATGGTATAGTATACCCACTCCATATCTCACTCATTTTTAGCAAGGCTTGATCATTGCGTCCCTATTGGTGGATTTTATGAATATGATGAAACTTGAAAATACATTAAATGTCCTAATGGACGAAGCGCAAATGGTTTGGTGTTGTTTATGATATTTAGCTTGTAGAAACATCTAGAACTTTTTGACCGAGATAAGTTGATGGCCGTTCTACCTACTGAACGCAGTCCAAGCAGCTCTCCAGTGCTGCTGAACTTGATTGAAACACTTAGACATCTCCGGAGCCAGAAAATGGATGAAACGGGTAAGAAAATGTACGCGTAAACATCGTTTATTTCATGCGATAGATTCGTAAGATAGACTAATTTATTACGGCACCTTACTTGTTACGGTTTCATCGTGGCATTCCCTTGTAGTTCCTTTACGAGAAGTTCCATTGTACATCTTGATTGAACTGATGTATTCTAATAAGGGTGTATAGAAATATGACGATTAATTGGAGGTACTCGCGTAAAATTAATCATCAAAACGGCATGTCAAGACTGCGTAATGTCATACAGTAGACTAGGTTAATGGTGTGCAATTGTCCATGTAAAATTAAGTTAAATACGCGAATAATCAGCAGGATAAAGTACCGACATTTTCACCGAGCGAAATGATACATCATATAGTGGCTACGGCATTTTCATTGACGGTCTAAAACAGGAACAGAATAAATGGATTGAAAATTGGACAATCCATCCTAGTAGTGTAATAACAGCATGTCAAAAGGTAACAGAAGGTAACAGCAATACTAGACTATTTACATGTAAGTACATTAAACTTGAATTTACATGTTTAAGCGTATTAGTCTGTTGTAAAAGTTTATCAGTTAGTCAGTCAGTCAGCTACAACGTAGGACCAGGCACATATATGCATCGGTCCAAGTTGCCATACCTCATTAACACAACAAGATGGACACCGGATTCATAAAAGTAGTTAATTCAGAGATGGTAATATATAAAAGAAAGATTGCAATAAGGATATAGTACAGGAAGAAAGAATTAGTTCGTAGAAAGAAAGATATGAAGTGATTTTAATCTCTTAGTTTAAGGGAAGATAGTGTATACACCGACGCCGTTGTGATCGATTCTGAGCCATGTCACCAAGAGTCTCCAACCACTGGTTATGATAGTCACGCGGACCCCAACCAAGTAGTCTGCATCTACCAACATGGCTCAGACTAGAAGTTAGTGACTTCAAGCACTGATGCCACGTTTTGGTTTGGCCGCCCCTAACTTTCTTCCAACCATCTCCAATACCGGATAGCATTGCACGTCGTGGTAGTCGGTGTTCAGGCATACGTAACACGTGGCCCAACCATCTTAGTCGATGAAGATTCACAATCTCATCAACTGACTTACTATCATTCCCTAATACCCTGCGTCTAACCTCACTATTACTTACCTGGTGATCCCAGCAGATGCGAGCAATATTTCTAAGGCATCTGTGTAAATAATATCTACGTTACACCATTATATTATCCTTTTAGTGCTGGCTCTTATTAATTCTCGCCTTATTGATGTGCACTCTTTTGCACACACCTTCGCTAGGGAATACCTACCTGGTCACCCATACCCTGTTTTACAGAACAAGTCAACAGCATAGGAATGATAGCAATTATTGCGTTTTATAACCGAAAGTAAAAGGTTCTAATCAAGTAAAAACCGGGAATAAAGAGCACATAGTGATACCATAAATGTGAAGTGGGAAACTGTTTGGTACCAGTCATACGACGTTTTTGTGAGTCAGTCAGTCAGTGAGTTGTCCTTGTTGTTTGTTCCTCGTAATTTATCGTTGGAAAAGCATTGTTTGCTATTTTAAGACTACCCTTTCTAACCACTCCATCCATCCATGGTAAAGGAGCATGTCAGTCAGTCAGTAACAACGTAGAACTTCGTACGTACGTACATCAGTTCGAGTTGCCACACCACATTAGCACACAGATGCAGTGGTCGATTCAAATCCCGTAGTGCTAGATGTAGTAAAATTATAAGTTGTAATCAGAAACATTAGGGTCTGAAGATGTTATTCAAGGAGTATAATCCAGTGAAATAAGTTCGGGAAGAGAACAATGAGACAATGAGGATTCAGGAGTTTAGAATTCGGGAGAACACAAAGAGCGGATGCACACGCGCCATTGCAAACGATTTTGAGCCATGCTATTTAAGGTCTCTAACCATCGGTTGCTATCATCTCGCGGTCCCCAACCAGGTAGTCTACACCTACCAACATGACTCAGTCCACTTGTCAGTGACTTCATGAACTTGTGCCATGTTTTGGTCTGGCCGCCCCTAGCTTTCTTCCAACCTACTCCTATACCACTGAACATCGCACGTCGATGAAGTCGGTGGTTGAGCATTCGTAACACATGTCCCAGCCATCTCAACTGATGAAGTTTCACTACTTCATCAACTGATTTGCCATCCTTACTTAGTACCCGTTTCCTAACAACTGTGTTACTTACTCGATGGTCCCAGGATATACGAGCAATGTTTCGAAGACACCTATGATCAAATACTAGTAACCCATGGATATCCTCTACTCTTAATGGCCATGTTTCACTGCCATAAAGTAGGACGGGACGAACTGCTGCGCAGTAAACCCATCCTTTAGTTGATAGACGGATATCTCGCCTACGCCATAAATGACGCAAGTTGGTAAAAGCTAGTCGAGCCTTCTGTATCCGTGCTGAGATTTCGTCACACACCAGACCACAAGGGCTGATGAGACTTCCAAGATAAGTGAAGTGATCGACACGTTCAATTACTTCACTCCCTTTCATTCGTTCGGGTGTCGATGCAACCCAATCCTGAAGCAACATTTTGCATTTCGAGGGGGAGAACCGCATCCCGAACATGCTTGCATTGTTGCTTAGAGTGGTCATAAGACTCTGCATTTTGTCAGCGTCTTCACCAAATAAAACTATGTAATCAGCATGTTCTAAGTCAACAAGTGAATCTCCCGGTAAAAGTTCAACCCTTGGAAATCTAGACGAGGAAAGTGTTATCGACGACAAAGTGAGATGCTTGTTACTCGTGAAAACTGTCTGCACACCTTAGTATTATCGACTGTACGACTTAACCTACTGGTGCTTACCCTAGTCGAAACTATCTGTTTGTGAGGACAAATAGTGGTAATATACATTTAGAATAATATTTAACCAGTAAGTGTGAAGATTAATAGCCAAACTGATTCTTAATGGTGTGACTTTTACTGAAGTAAAATGTAAATGAAACCGTCAATAAACGGATCAGTTAACGTTAAGAGATTGCACTTGCCAAATGAGTTTTCTACTTTAAGCGTCAAGTCATATGCACTAACTTGTGACTAACCTCTTCCTTTTGAGTAAAAATTCTACTACTGTTGACGTTTTTAGTGTTTGTTTCGTTTCTTTTATTGTCTTCTTGTTCCTGCTTTCAGATTCATCTACTTCAGCATCAAATAATTCACGTAATAAGTAAGTTTTCAGGGAACTGTATTATTGGTAATTTTTGGTGTCGGTAATTTTTTTCCGTTCATATAAACTTTGTTTGTTTCTTATTTTAGGTCAAGCAGAATACCTGTCTTACAGAGTCGTAAAACGAGGTATTATCATTATTATGAACAAGTGCTTGTTTCGTTTCTATACGAAATGCATTACATTGTAGCATTTAATAATCCCATCCTATTCCTGCTTAACCTAGTTTTATTACGTTAATCTTTCTTTTTCCATTGTGAAAGCACTATTTCCTGCACGCATAATTCTACCTCAAAGTTACATGCATAAATACCTTTCTGCCTGAAAAGTTTGTGAGTATTTTTTTACTGTAGATAAGGTTTAGAGGTCATATGAGATTTTCATTTATTTTCATCTATGGTTTGTTAACAGTATTCCTCAAAGTCTTCTGACTAAAATATTTTTAATGAACCAATATATCTTTACGTAGGACTGCAATAATGCTAAATTTTCAATATCCTTAGAGTATGAACTGCTAGATTCACAAAAGGCTTTGCAATATTTAGTGTTATTAGTTTGTATAATGAGTATATCCAGTAATTGTGTTGACTAGATTCAATTAACTGTCAGTTTTAACTGTTTATATCATGTTTTCAATCTTCTGCATGTACGTGCTTCAATAAGCCTTTTTCTATTCCTTGCTATTTTACACGTCCGCGGTTGCTTCATGCCTTCATGGTAGCATGATTGTTTTAGTTTTTGTGCTTTGCTTATATGCTTGTATGGATTATTCAAAGCTGTTACTATTTGATCGTTTATCCTAATAAAATAGTACTTAGCTGAATTAAAAGTAATTAATCATTTGTACTTAATTTTTACCGTCGAGTTATATTTCAGAAGATATATCGTAACGGATAACCATTAATATGTAATATAAGTTTGGCTTGAATGTGTTGTGCTGTGCAGCTGCTGTATGTAGTATAGGTTTTTGGGAGTCTGAGTTCGATTAATCAAACACCACCTAACGTCCATAAGTCAGGACTTCCTCTTCGTTCAGTCTGAGTTTAACTAAGGATTTTGTTTTCTTTAAGTTCAAAAGATACATGTTCATCACCACAGCTTAAAGCGAAGAACAGAATGTTTTGAATTTATCACAAGTTTCTCTACTACACAGTCCCTTCTCTCAGTCTTTGTTGTTTTATTCATTTTCATGTCTCTATTTTGAAAGTCGTAAACATAAATGTTTGCATATTGGGTTTCACTTCCTATCTCTTGGAGTGTGTGATGTCAGATTCTACTGGTAAAAATTCTTACAGACCTGTAACCTCAAAAATGATAAAGTACTTAAGCTCAACGGTCATACTTCAGTTCAACATATCTAAAATATTTATGTAATATGGTGTGTAGTACTTTTTGGTCAGTGTGATTTGGTTATTTATTCTTTGAAGAAGTAACTTACGCTGAGTCACGAAACGTCAGGAAATCTAATTTTTCTACTCACTGGGATGTTACAAATATATTATTTTATTTATAAACCAATTGGTGTTTGAAAACTTAGAAATGAGACACCTCACTACAAAGCTACTTCACATTCTAGCGTATTAAGAAGAAACTTTTTTCATTGCCAGTGGTAAATCAATGAAAAAGACTGTTGCAAACATATTATATTTAAAAGTGATATTTATAATAGAAATAGTAAGAATCTCTCACACTGTTTGAACTGGATTCTACTGAGGTTAATTAACTATATAGTATAAAATATTTATAGTATCTAACTTACTAATCATGTATATGCCTGTGTATTAGGCTTTCACCTTCATTTATTATGTTCACCCTTGAAATACTTTTTGACTTTTACTAGTGAAGATTGATTGAACAGGTTTCGAATAAGTCTCATATTAAATAAAAGTTAGATCATCGTAACATAGTCCTACCGCATACAGAATACTCTATTAGATTGTTTACCAAATAGATAAACTAGTTGACTATTTTAGTTATATCGGCGTGTATGAAATATTCCTAGTTTATAACGTATGTTTTGTTTTAATTAAAATTTAGATTAATTTTGTTTTATTTGATTTTACTAGTTTTGGATCCCAGGTATCAGATGAAACACTCAACACTCCAAATCGCGACGTTAATGGTTCGTCAAAAGTTAAAGAAACTATAAACACTTCCCAGGAAACTCGTCTTCAAGAAATAGTCACTAATCACAGCAGCAGAACGCAAATGCGTACATCTGTAATTGGGTCTACAGATTCTCCGCGACCTTTAACACCGAATTCTCCAGCTTTGAATAATGTTGCGAAGGTCGAATCCCCCGGAAGGGCGAATTCAGGAGGGAGTTCACCATCCATAGTCAGAGTGTTTGCACCAGTGAAAAAACAGTCGTCTTTAAATGACGACAAATCAGATGTTGATGATGATGATGATGATATTGAAGAAGTGTTAAGAGCCGAAGAGTCAGTAAGTGATTTTATTTGAAAGTCAGTAGTTAAATTTTACTTACTATCCTAAAATGTAAGTCGTTCTCTGTCACTAGAGCTACCACTTACTTTATCCACTTTGTCCATTATGACTATGGTGCGGGTTTAAGGCCATTCTGCATACTTTAGAACTTTAGCTCCTAAGTCTAAAAATTAGACTCGAAGCTATAGGATCTCTACTTTATTAAAGCTGTTAGGTGATATCTCTACCCCACTTGCAGTGTAATTCAAAGAATATTACTCGAACCTGTATTTCGTTACTCAGGTCACGTCTTAATGGTATCACTTTGTAGTACTGGGAAATGGATATCTTGGTTTGTAATAGGCAAAAACAGCAGTTTTGACGTACTACTTTAGCAACACAATCTCTCAGACTTATTGAAACAGTACTTCAAATGAGATTAAAGGGAGGCTTATTACCATTGGTAATAAAAATAAGGGACCACAAAAGTATGCAGAAGGAAAACGGTTATATTTTCCACCACTTACACCTGATATATTAAAGTGTCATGAATTACCAAAGTGATTAGAACAGTTAATAAAAACCCAGCTAATGGATTACCCCAGTTGGTTAAGCGATTAGTGCATCGAAACTGACTTTTTAGCTCTAAATGCATCCACAAAGAGGGTTATTTTGTTCTAATGAGGGTAATGGTTCAGCGTCATAACTATTGTTATGCAGTGGTTGGTGGGTGTACACATACATATCACAGAACAACAAGTTAGATAAAAACTTGATACTGTTAGACATGAAGTGGTAATATATTATTTCATTTTTATCACACTGACAAAACAAAAGAAAAGCTCATCTAGAGTACCAAAAGTACTAGTACTTTTAAACATGATGATGTATACTAATAAGGTAGAAAATGATTTTCATAGTTTAAGTGACGAACTAATCTTAGTTAAACAACTATTTAGAGCCTGGGAGCACCGGACGGCCGTTTCTTTCTAGTCTGGAACTCTTCAGTAGTGCGCATTCACTACCATAGGACATTTGTCTGTCATGAGAACGCTTAACCTCTAGATCACATTCGGTATCCAACGCTTAGATTCCTCAATGCGAAGTTGTGGATTCGTACTGTTGAGGAACTTCACACTAGGACGAAATGGCCGTCCAGTGGTCTACCTAAGGTCAGTTCGTAATTCAAACTATGAAAATTCTACAATCTCCACGAATTCATCCCTCCTTATAAAAAATTGTTATGGAATGATAATTTTCAAATATAAAGCATATAAAGTGTATTTACGCCACCGTGAAAATATTTGACTGATTCACGTAGTCAGCTCATAACGGTTTTAAGTGTTATACGGATCCTAACGAATTAAATAACTAATTATCTAACATCATGTTCGTTTAAACTGTAGCCAACCAAGCAATATAAATGTCACTGCTGATTCATAACTAATTACCACCTGAACTGAAAGTTGCTTACTCGTCAATTGGGAAACAGTGAATATGTTTGTAGTCCAACTGTTTGTTCTCTAATCGTCAGCCACTTTTAAATAGACACGTTATATATGGTAAATTTCCATTGAGTTTTGTAATGTAGTTCCTTCTATTAGACTTAATGATGCAACTTTAAAAATAAAATCAACATAAATTTACTAATACCATTTATTTCGGTTATGTTTGCGCCATGGTAGCCATCCAGATAAAATAAGTGATTAAATTGCCTCTCTAAACCTGGTACAGTAGTGCAAATTAGCGAAACTTTGTCAGATTATATCTTAGTAATTTCACAATCTATGAGAATTGCGGAACAGAAAGCTGTATTTCTATGGAAAATTTGTGACAGCTGTCATAAGTACAAGATTAGACATTCCTGAATAACACCACTTATCGGCTTAGGTAATTTCTCTGTTCTGATACAATCACAGACATCTAAGTGTATAGCAGTTGTTGAATTTCAGTCTCGTCATGTGGCTGACTAACCTGTCCAATAGTCAATGTCTTCATGAACTGATTCCATGTCTTGGTTTGGCCGTCCCAACTTTTCTTTCCAACCTTCTACATCAACCACCATTTCCCATCGAGGTATTCGGTTGTTGGGTATACGTAGCAGATGTCTTGACCATCTTAGTCGATAAAAATTCACTACCCCCTCAATAAATTAGCCATCCTTATCTTGTATTTCATCTAGCTTCTGGATGGCTAACTTGATGGTCCTAAAATACATGAGCAGTGGTTCAGACGCCCATAAAGTAGAACAGGGCAGATTGCTGGGCACTAAACTCGGCCTGTGACTTGGGAATGAATATATATATATATATATATATATATATATATATATATATATATATATATATAGTGCCTCCTTTTATCAATATTTATGTGTTCAAATAAATAAATAATCCTGAAGTAACATCTTACATTTGGACAGAGAGAGAGGACCTCATCCTAATTATGGTTGCATTGTTGCTTAAGGTGGTCAAAAGACTGCATTTTATCAGTGTCTTCATCAAATAGAACTATATTACCTACGTGTTATAGGTCAACAAGTTAATTTCCTGTTATATCAACCCCTGAAAGTTAGACGACGAGAGAGGTACTTCTAAAAGCATTTCTGTGACGAAGACAAAAGTGAGGAAAAAAGATAACCCGGAAGAACATTTCCAGTAATAAATTCAGATGACAACTCTTATTCGACCAGTAGTGTTCGAATAGAGAGCCTGTACAAGGTAATGTACTTCTATGGTACATATTTCAATGTCAGACACTGTCATGAAATCTCTCGGTTTACAAAATCAAATGCTGCCTTAATGTTGAGAAATGTAGCTATGGTTGCGAGTCGGTGGGTATGTTCGTGCACCGGAACCTGGGCAAGCGCGGATATTTACTCCATACATCTATGTCCAGGTCTAAAACTAACCTGGTTTTCTCGAGTTTGCTCTTTACAGGCTCTAGATAGCCGTCAAAGTATTATTGAGGGTAATATTTTAGGCTCTGTATTAACCAAACTGATTCTTCTGTGATTGTCACTAGAGGATTTTTGTCCTTTCTTATAGACTGGGACGATAGGCGATTGAGACCAGTTATATGAGATTAAGTTCATTCTCCAGATTCTAGCTAAGGACTCAGTCAATCTAACTGCTGAAACTGGGCCACCATACTTAAAAATCTCAGGGGCTAATCCATCAGGGCCTGCTGCTGTCTCTTTTAGATTAGTTTTGAATTTCTCCACTTCTTTGAGAGTTGGAGGCTTATGTTGACATTCCAGTTAGGTTGCTTGGTAAAAGCAGGTAACTGAAGGGTGAATGTAAAGCTGTTAAACTTCTCCTACCCATCGTCGCAGTCCCCAGGGTTGATAGTGAATCATTGTTTCATCTTTTTCAGAAATAGTCCTGGTGACTCCCGAATATTTAATACCTGTTTCTTTAATATCTTAAAAGTTATCAAGTGATGCATATCGCCACCGTCTTTCCTGTCGCTCTTGCCTTATCCTCGCACCACTGTTCACGATCATTGCGTAAACTCTGAGTTGTCTTTGCTCCACATCATATTCGAAGCCTAATGGGATGAGTTTTTGAGCATCTATCATTTAAGTAGATGATACTAAAATCCACTGATTTTCCTTAATCTTTTGGTTATAGTCACCCACAGATATCACTGATATTTTAACAGCTGTCTGGATATCATCCCAACCCACATCAAGGTGAACATAGGTCACTTTGGCGATCACCCAACTGCTTCCCCATTTGTTTATGAAATATTCTTTTGACATTTTCGTCGTTAAGTTGAACTTGAAGGAGTTTTCTTGCTATGGTTTTTCTGCATTCAGTCTGTCACAAACAAACATGTGTCAGTATCAGAGCATGATCTAGACATATTCTTCAGAATGAGCGGCGGTCTTCTATCGAGCCTTTCCGACAATGGCTGATGTCGATATGGTCTATTTACGTCTATCGCCGAGTCGACTGTGGGGGTCTCCATGGCTGACAATGTCTCTTAATGCTTAGAGATGGTGCTTAATAGGAATAAATGGTTGTCTGAACATAGTTACAGCAGCCGATCGTCGTTGCCTATTCGCTGAGCTGCGACACTGTGAAACCCACGTAAGCGTCTTTCACTTCGATTTAAACCAAGTGCTTTGGCGCTAAAGTCTCCTGCTGTTATCACTACGCCCGATAGTTTGGTTTTTTAGGAGAGCAGAAAGCTTTCTATAAAAGCCATCTGTTACTTTATCCGGACTGTAGTTAGTGGGAGCGCAGGCAGATATGACGAAGAGGCGATGGCGTGTATCCCTATTTTTCCGTGTTGGGAGACTTTTCAACTTAACATTTCAAACTGGTAGACGTATTTACGATATTTTATTGAGGGTGGTTGTGGTTATGCAATACCTTTCTGGTGTATATCCTGGAATACCCTTCACATTCATACCTGTTGACTAGTAGAGAATCTATTAGGTTCAACACCTTTTGGTGTTGCTATAACAGTATCTATTACCGTAAGCTTTCCATACCTCGATATTATTGTGAACCTTGTGTTTTGGCAACGTCACGTAATTCAAACCTATTATATTTGGTCGCTTTCTATTGTACAATAACATATATATTGTGATGTTTATGCATATAATTATATTTTCTTGAAATGTGATATCTGTTTTGAAACTCTTGTCCTCTGGAGTTCATGTGGTTGTCATCAGTGAAGTATCGTCACGTATTTGTTATAGATCAGTTCCACATTTTTGACCCAATTCAGTTATACAGTTAACAGATTGGCAGAATCTTAGTGAAAATCCAAATTAAGGACATTTTGAACATAAAACACTGTTTCTGTGTCTAACATTTACAGTTTGCATTCATCAATCCATCTGGAACAGTGCAGGATCAAGTATAAAGTAATATTGGTTCCCTTTAATGTAAAGCCTGATAAAAGAATGTATTAGAATGGTAGCTTTGGTGAAATTACAGTAATCATGGGTGATACCTATTAAATGTGCCTAAAAAAAGTTCATCTAGTGTCAACGCTTTATTTCACTGGATTCTCTTGCCGGATTTTTAACTAAACGTAGAATCTTTAGCGTTTTTGTAAATTTTTGCTTGTCTGATATGACAAATGTTTCCTATGGGTTCGATAGATCCTATCCTTGTAATTGGATGTTATGTTGCAACATCGATTCTGAATCACCGAATCGTGTTTGATGTGTGTGTTGGCCTGAATCTCGAATGTATACCCTAGGTCAAGGATAGTGTCATACCTGTGTACCGGAACCTAATGAAGTAATAATATCTGGCCGGTTGGTCATGAATGTGGTTTGTCTCTGACTGTATAGCGGGCGGATGTTTACAGTAAGTCCTAAAGATTTGATTGTTTGAATCTTAAAACTTATTGTGGAGCAGTAATATTTTGATGGAGTTTTGTTCTCTGGGCTGGACGGTTTGGTCGTGGAGCTTTCATCGTTCTTCTGAACGACATCAGCACAAACTTCAGATAGAAGTGAAGTGTTCGAATTTATCCATATGCGTTTCACAGCTTGTTCTGTACACCTAGATGTTGATAGGTTCCAATGGACCTTAAATTTATCATTGTTTACTTCTTTGTTTTGGTTGGAAGCTTCACGACCAAACCGTCCAGCTCAGAGAATAAAACTCCATCAAAATCATCCACCTGAGCTACAAATTTTCTCCACTAGGAGCAGTAATATACTAATTCTAAAGAATAAACTGATTATTCAACTTTTCGACCTTAACAGATGAATTGAGATTTGCAGGTAAATTGGCCATGTCTGAAAATTATCATGCTTCTCTCGATAGCAAGAGACTAACCCTATTCGTGTCTTTTTTTATAGGAATAGTTGATGTGTCGAATTCATTTTTCATGTTTATTATTGTTTGATATTGGTCATCAGTCTATGCCTATTGTTTTGCTGAATTATCCCATCTCACCCCAATACAAAGTCTTCAACCGTGTATATATTTCATTGTTTTTTCTTTCTAGGTGGCTGATGATACAGTCGACCAAACTGTTGATTCAGAACAGAGCTTAGGCTTGGACTATGTTGAAGAAATACAACCACTACACAACTCTGTCTCGTTAACACGTACTGTTTAATAGCCATGAATTGTTATATTCAATAATGACGTGAAATTTTCTTAGGTTTCAGGTTGTTTTCCCTTGATTTCTGCATCGTATAACAATGATTCAATGTTTATTTCCTAGTGTTTTGTACTATTTGTTCCCTGATTTGCAGTTCGTTTACAGCTATCGTTCTAGTAATATTTCCATTCAATTAACAAATCATAATCGAATGATAACCTAAATTTCCATGTGTTAATGCTAAAAATATATCAGTGTATAAAACATCATATATGTTTACTGCTTAAATAAAACATCTTTGATGGGAGACTTTCTATTATGTTTTCATAGTTTACCAATGATAAGACATTTATTAAAAATCAAAACAGTATTTTAAGCTGCATCCGGTGTAACTTTTTTTTTATATTTGAGCATTATGGGTTTTAAAATACTACTATAAAATAAAGGCACATTTCAGGTTTTGGTATCAAGGTGTGAGATAAAATTTCTTTGTAAAAATATAGGCTCTGTAGAAGAATTGTAACCAGAGTTCATGAAATTTTTCATGAAGATATTATTCCATTGAACGGATTTTCTGTATGTTTCTCCAAAGGCGAAGCACTGTCCCACCACTGAAATGATTGTGAAAACAAAAGTGCCGTCAGTTAAATTTGGACACTTGTAAAGCCTGTTGTTAGTACTGTTTTGCTTTTACATGCTTATGCTGTATTACTTGCCGAATGGTGTTTCAAATGCCGTTCGTCACGAGCACATCGCAAATAATTCCACGATTATATGACATTTTTTAATAGTATCATGCTTTCATTTACTCAGTTACAGTAGTAAAATAGTTTATTTATTATCCATCAAAGTTTTTAGATTCTCCTAACTCAATAAATACTAGATTTTAACTTAGCTCAATCTCTTTCTTCATACTCATGTAAAGACAGCCTAGTTATTCCTATACTTACTTAATTTTGTTACTCCTCGTCGAGGAGCATAGGCCGCCCAACAGCACTCGCCATCCAAACCTGTCCTGCACAATCCTTTCTAGTTAATACTCATCCTTTTGATACCTGCTTCCATTTGCCGACGCAGTGTGTATTTTGGCCTTTCTCTTTTCCGTTTCCCTTCAGGATTTCAAATTAGCGCTTGCCTCGTGATGCAGTTTGATGATTTCCGTAATGTATGTCCTATCCACTTCCAACATCTTTTCTTAATTTCCTCTTCAACTCGAAGCTGGTTTGTTCTCTCCCACAGTAGGCTGTTGCTGACGATATCCGTCCAACGGACATTTAATATATTGTGTAGACAATTTTTTATGAGTCCTTGTACCCTTTTGATGATGGTTGTGGTAGTTCTCTAAGTTTCAGCTCCACACAGTAGAACTAACTGTCTTGACGTTCGTATTGAGGACTCCGACTTTGACATTGTTGACAATTGTTTTGAGTTCTGTATGTTCTTCAAATGTAGGAATACTGTCCTTCCGATAATGTAATAAAAAGACGAAGATTATCAGAATTATGTGATATATTAGTGCAATACCTTTCGAACAATCTGATCACACATATACTTGTTAAGAGCATTTATATATAAAAATAAAATGGCAACTAGACTGGAAATGGGGTAAGTGGAGATAAGGATAATAATAAGAGTAATAATAATGTGAACAGAATTCCAGAGTGATTAGGTTTCCAATTGTGTTCACATTATTATTACTCTTATTATTATCCTTGTCTCCACTTACCACATTTCCAGTCTAGTTGCCATTTTAGTTTTATATATAAATGCTCTTAACAAGTATATGTGTGATCAGATTGTTCGAAATGCACTGCGCCAATATATCACAATTCTGATAATCTTCGTCTTCTTATTACATTATCGAAGTTTATCAAGGGGACTAATTGCTTTAAAAATACTGTCCTTGCCTTGCCTTGCCAATCCTCACCTTCACTTCTGCATCTGATCCTCCTTGTTCATGGATGATGGTGTTCAGGTACGTGAACGTTCCTACCTCTTCCGGGGTCTCTCCATCATGTGATTGGGTCGGTGTTCTCCATGTTGTGTTTGAGGATCTCGGTTTTCCCCTTGTGTATGTTGAGGCCCACTGATGCAGAGGCTGCTGCTACACTGGTTATCTTGACCTGCATTCGTTGGTGTGTATGGGATAGAATGGTCAGGTGATCTGCAAAGTTCAAGTCGTCTAGTTGCTTGCAAGTTGATATTAGATAATTTAAACTTTCTTCACGTTTATAAGTACCATTTGTTCTCATCCCGAATCTCGCCTGATAATCCTTGATGCATTTGGCGGTGTACCATCTCATCTTCCTCTTATATTTTCACTTATCACTGTGCTTATTTGACCATTCATCTGACTGATCATGTTAGTTTCTGTGTGTCTTGACAAGTATATATGTGATCAAATTGCATGATATCTCTTGCTCAAATATACCTTATATTTTCTGCTCAACCTCGTTTTCTCAACGATGATATAATAGAATTGCTTTAACTGTAATTCTAAAACTAACTACATCTAGAATCATGCTTCAACATTCATGACCAAACCTACCTTAAATTCATTTTCCATAAGTCTTCTTTCGTTATAGCATCTAAGAAGTCTTCTTCATCAACAATGTGATTTCGACGAAGCTGAAAAAGATTTAATTATTTTACTTATGTCACAATAAATGTTAGTGATTTCGTTATTTATTGGAAACACATTTTTTGTTAGAATTACAGTGAAGTTATAGGATGTTTTTGGCTCTACTTCATCTGGGATTTGCAATTACTTTTTATTGGCTGAAAATGCCAATCTTCTTTGTCTTCAAAATTTTTAACGTCACTGTTTTATGATTAGAATTCATACCTATTTAGCGGCTGAAAGTAAACTACACCAATATTAGTGGTTAAGTATTTTAGATACTTGACATACTTCTAATGATTGTTTCACGGAGGGAGGTCAAGTCGGAGGTTTTATTAAAGTTGTACGTTTGTGTTATGGAGAATGTTTTTAGTGATTTGCTGGGGCTAGATTTTCAATTATTAAAATCAATGAATAGGACGCCAATCGATCGATGGATAGGATATGATATTATGTGGCTGATTGATGGTGACTCACGAAACCGTATCATTTATTGACTTAAGTTTTTAAACGATTAGAAATATGAATAGAGACTATTACCAGTCAATTGAATAGATTTTCCAAGTAATAAAATGATGTATTTGTATAAAAAATATAATAAACTATTAAATGGTTGAAAGAAACTAACTTGTAGGTCACTTATTTTCTAGTCACTTAAGATCTGACTTCCCAGTCTGATCTTCGGACATCATGTCCGTTTGTAGTCTTGGATTCTATTTACCGTTGTTAGTCTGTTGATAAATAACAAGCTACTTTTTCAAGTACGTGACAAAAGATCGTGATTAACCACTTCGTTGGGATCATACAATTCATAAACGGACTCAATAACTTCGCTTTATATTCTTAAACTAGGTTTTTGTGCTTACGTGCATTAAACGCCCCGTAAATCCCTACATTTCCTGAGGATCTTTCAATTGTCAGGTTTATAAGAACTTTTTCAATCGAAAAAATGATTGATTGAAAATGCCAGACATTTCTGTAATTTCTCAGATAAAGTTAAACTGCGATGCAGACGGCGTTATAGCCAGTCACTCCATGAGTGTTTGTTTATTTCTGCTGACGAATAAAACATTTCCATATTAAACATTGGGGGATACTCATCAAAAGTCTGTGCTAAAAGAATGAAATTAATATCTTTGGGGAAAATGTGAATTAGTCTAGGATAAGTATCAATAAGTTACTAACTTTGGCACGGTCTTCATCAGGTATCCGGAGGTCTTTAAACCAATCGTCTAGTGTACTGAATCCAGTTTTCAAATCTGTGAATTATATTTGAAAATTGGTAATGTTTATTCGGTCAACTAAAGAATGGTTTATTTAAGAAATAAAGGTCCTTATGAAATAACTCGTCCCTTTACTAGTAAATCAATGTAACTAACCAAAATTTTATACCAAAAAACATTTAATCTATCAAAATGGGTGCATTGACAAACAGATGCTCGGTTCATTTGTATTCGGACTATCAAAATGTTCAGAAACTACTTTCATTTGGTATCTATATTTCACGTCGGAATGTGGGTTTGTCCAGTGCTTAACGATTCAAATATATATTACATATTTCTTTGTCATGTTGCATTATATAGCGGTTTTAAATCATATTATTTGATCATTTTTGTGGGGATGGTTGAAAATAGTCCGTTTCTGAATTGAATCGTCTCATAACTCAGCTTTGCTTTAGTTAGAATTTCAGAATAACCTCATGGAATTATATCGATTACAGAAAGTGTATTTTTCATTATTGAATGAGAGTAGTCAGTTGCGTGGATCAAGAAATTCAAAATTTGTGTATCTCAGTGAAGAGATTTTCTGTTGTAAAATATACTCATATTTCTAACTCTGCCACTGAGCACTCGTTTAATAATTATGTATAACGATGTCTGATTATAATTTTGAGTTATTCATCTTGGTTTGAAGCATCATAAGGAATAATTTGATGATAAATTTGGTTGAAATTAGATTAAGAATTAATAAAAGTGGGGTCTAGTTATGCGTCGACTGCATTCAACAGAAACCATCTGTATTCAGTGGGTCAAAATACACTCCTCAAGTTCTGTAATTATTACGTTTGTAAATACTCATATACTGTGAAGAGGTATTGATAATTTTATGTAAAATTTGTGTACCATAATAGTTTAAAACATTTTAAACTAACTCTACTTATAAGTATCTACCAAGAAATTTTCAATAAACCATATTTATTGAAGCTTGATGATGACATTTATAGTATTTTTTTAGAAGTTAGTGTTAGGCTAAAATCTACATAAAAGCACAAATATAATAATAAATACTATTATTCGAAACTTGCATTTATGTCCGAGGATATTGTACATTGAACTGAAAATAAAAAATAATGTGTTTGCATATTTATACGAAAGGTTTGCAAGTCGAAGTTATATGAGGTTGGTTTTATAGAAACAAGAAATTTCAGTCAGTATTCAGTAAAATTTATAAAAACTGATATTCATACACATTATTGATTGAATATTCATCTTAGAAATTATTTCATCTCATGGTTTCTGATCATTATGTTCTATGAGCGTTTGACATCCTGTTGGCTATTTCTCCAGCACTAGAAGTCATTTTTATACACCAGTACTATAATTGCTGCTAGTAGTTAAACTGTAGTATTAGGGTTTCTTTCAATTTGGAACACATAAGTCGAATGTTTAGATGGTTGTTTTTATTTGAAGTCAAACCACACAATCATGGTTCAGTGACAATTTCCCTAAAGACTGTTTGTATATATTGATATTTCCAATTGGATTTTATGTTAAAGATCATAAAAATAACTTCCTGCTTGTCTCTACTATTACGTTTTACTGTGATTTTATGTGTATTATCATAGATTTACTTATTTAAATTTATACATGAGGTTCATTAGTAAGTAGTGTATGTATTGTATTTAATAGTGGAAATTATTTTGAGACACTTATACAATATGGTACCAAAATCTGAATACAGAATAATTTACAAATAAGGAACAGTCTATTGGTGTAGATTATTCATCGATCGGTAAGTTGATCTATAGTGGTAACTGTATAGATACCAACGGTAAATTTACCGTTTATACTTTTGATATCAGAAGTATAGAAGTTTATGAATTAGATCATTTCTATTGTTTTGTTTTTCCTTATATTCCAGTTTCGGAACTTAACTAGTTCTAGGTTTATCTTCAGCACACCTTTCTTACTGTTGTTTACTATTTTTTAATATAATTGTCATAAACATAAGTTAAATTTATAGTTTAGTGTTACTGTTCACTTACATTAAGTTTAGTGATTTAATAGTATTATTTCTAAACAAATTCAGCAGAGAATATAATAAAATCTGTCTCACTTGTCTACTAGACCATTAGCAGAATTCTCGTGATTTACCAATTCATCTAGTGTTTTGCTAGTCCTTGATTTAACATGACACAAAGGAGCACTTGATTGAACACCTGCAAATTTCCGTGCGCACTGGATAATTTCCATTGGTTCTTCAGGAATTGCTTCGTTTGAAAAGGTTAATGATTTCTGTGATAAAGATAAACTGTTTGTAACCTTCTTTGTTTCATCCACAATTGAATCATTTGGTGTATAATAGAGGCTAGGTGACATAGAGACCATGGTAAATGGTCTATTCGAAGGAGTCGACTGACGGATATATGTTGGCGAGTCAAGATCAGCTTCCGTAGTGACTTGTTTAACTAGTCTACGATTGTGCTGTGCTGAGTATGTTTGATGACGACGTAAGTGAACTGTACTTATTGGGGCTAAATCTTTAGGAAAATGGAAAATATTCATCAATTGTGGCAAAGTTATTTATTAAAGAAATTCTTTTTACATAAAAAAAGACATTCAGAATTTGCAAACCATTAAATACCAAGAAAGTTTAACAAATTCTTCATTTTGTTCGTTTCGATTCAATCACCAAAATGAATCCATTTCTGTATGTTATGCATGTATAACCCCTATAAAGCTTCTGAAACCAGTGTTACTTGATGAAAATCACAGGGTTGTCACAGTATTTTATCTGGTTAACAAGATAAATTATATGATATCTCAGTATACATTGTTTGAAATCAATAAATCGAAAGCTTTGGGTCTAGATTTTATGAAACTTTTGGGGAAGAAATCCCACAATTTCGATAGTTATGGTTTTTTTCTTTATGATATTGGTGAGTTTGTTCCGTATGATAAATCACTAATTAATCTGTGGTGGGTTTTAGTAAGTTAGACAAAGAATGAATTTATGAAAATCAGTTTGCTGAGCATGGTCTTTCTAATCGTGTTTTGGGTATAAAATACTACTTTATTTAACGCTCCTCTCTATACATTGGCATCGAGTCATATGCCCATATGTAATTTCTGGATAAAATATTTAGTTACGGTGACTAGATAAGAACCTAACTGTGCTCAGTAACATGGGTTCTTGTTTGGAATCTGCTATTGTTATAGTTATCTACTTGCAAAAGTAAACACTTTTTACTTTATTGAGTTTTTAACGATCAAGTCCAAGAGTATGTACATTTCTAACTGTTATATCCGAGTGGAGATTAAATTACAGGTAACTTCCGAGGACTATTCATGGACTAATATTCTATAAATATTCTTATTGTATAACTATTCAACAATTACATTATGTATATTTATATCCCTCTTATGACAAGCTTTATTTTGGCCTATAATTTATTATTGTACGATTTACGGTTCTTAAGTTATGTTCAGTTTATTAACTACTACCTCCCACGTTCACAGCCACTTTTTGGGCTTATTTGTGTACAAATATTATTTCCTATTTTATGGTACGTTGCGGTCTGTATGATTGATATATAAACCAAGTATGCCTGAAATAAACGATCTGCTCTGATTCGGAAGATGGTATCTTGTTCTGGACTCAAGTGGAAGGGCTCGTAGGACATAGGACCAATAAGGACGCTAAACTGCCCACACCGGTTGAACGTCATTGGTTGGCCTAGTGTGAAGTTTCGTATAAGTCGTATTCGGATTGGTAGATAAGTCGTGTGATAGAAAAAACAAAACATCCAAGGTCATAACACTAACATAAAGTCACTTAGATTAGTGAACACATTCCAATATGATAGATAGGATTAAACCGTCTATAAGTATTATAATTAGGGTACATATATAAAATATTCTTTTCATAAAAATACTTGGAAGAAAATTATTCTTTTGTTAGGATATTTAAGGATATCGTAGTTTCAAAGTCGTTTTTATTGATAAGTCATCTGTGGAAACAGAGGGGACTAGATAGTGTTGAACAGTTTGTGTTTATACGAATCCGAGTCATAAGGGAAAGGGAACTCCATACTAATAACTTTTCCGAATTCAGGCAGTATTGTTCACAGTATTGTACAGGTTAAGGGATCTTTCGGCTGATGAAAGAAATTTGTCTTAGTACAACATGCTTCAAACATACTTACTGCTAATTTGATTGGTTGCTGAAGTGATAGCATCTTTGATTAATTTTTCCCATGCTAATACTTCATGTGGACGATTCACTTGACGGAGCAAAGGTGCAGCAATAACACTTGGAAGTGCTGCCAAAGCTACTCGCAAATAATTGCAAACTAATGGCGTTCCCACTGGAAGACATGCATTATTCTGTTCAGATATCTTTGAAGAATGTAGCAATTTTAAAAATCGTCCTCCTAAATCTTCGCCAGCCACTGAATAACGTTTCAAACTTGACAACACTGCTAATTTATTCGTATCGCCCGATATGCCGTTGATGGAGTCAGTCAATCCTTCAGTTGTACATTTATTTGCTGGAATTTTAAGGTAGTTAACAAGTTGAGACCAACAAATTCCACCGTGTAAACTATCAGTTATCATATCTAAAAGACACTAAAAATATGAACACTGGTTAAACTATAAATTGTTTTAAGTCAGGGTAATATTCATGAACAGACTATTACAAAAGCCAGTTTAGACCTCGACTAAGATTATTTTATCTGCTTATTTTGATACTTAAATAAATTGTTGAGAAATATCGGAACTGATCCTGAAACTAAAGTTACTGTACAATGTGGAAATATTGAAAAAACCTTCAAAAACACTCATATTTAGTGTTTCAACCCATACCATTCGGTGTTACTTAGAAACGTTAGGATTAAGGTAGCAACTAAACCCCATATACTAATGAGTTAGTGTGTAATTAGTTCACTAAAAAGAAGCCAATGTATGACACTTTATTTGAAGATGACTTAATTTTATTGACGAGCTGTCTACAGTGAATTGAGTTCATTATTAGATCCATATAACTCATAATCTTCCCGTTAAATACTCCTACAATTTCTGTAACATGATTGCCAAAGTATCACTTTGTCTAACCATTTAAATAACTGACCATGATTCACAATGTTTCCAATAAAATTGAATTATTATTGATAACTGCTGAACAAACAAATGACTTATGAATGTTTATGATTAAATTCAGTAATGAGTTTGATTGTTGAACTTTGTTTAGATAAAGGGTTTAAGGTAATCTTAGAAGTTAGACGTTTAATATTTTGGTCACCTATAAAAGGTATTACAATTTGATTCCTGTATTTATGGAATTTGGCTAATGACCTACTTTCTGAAGGAATAAATCACTTAGTAATTTTGTTGATAAATCTCAATAGTGAGGTTAGAGACAACTTCTCTTGGTTATTCTAATTTGTGGTTACTCAATGATAATTCGACCAAAAAAGTTACCAGTCAAATGAGCGAATTTATTCAAATATCAATCAAAACTGTTTTTATTGTTCACATATTATTTGTGAACAATAGTCTTTGTATGTGTTTTTTTCACAAATAGTCATAGAGTGATCATAGAACAGAATATAGAGTAAACAGTAACAACTAAGTCATATGTTAAGTATTTTTTCTATACCATATTCATTTTTTTACATAGTGACTACTTTTCCGTCAATATATAATATTACTATTCAATCGATTACATGCTTGATATAATTTGCGCAAATTGATTTTATAATCGAATGCCAAAAAACGGATATAGAACAAGAGAAAATGGTAAACTGTTTTGAAGTGAAGTGAACATCAAACTCAGTGTCAATTAAATGTTACCGTAGTATTGTCACATTATTTTTCTACTACAAATTAAACGTAAGACAAATAAATAGTTTATACGTCACTGAGATCATGAATCAATCTGAGTTAAATTTACACTGAAAACCAGGAAACAGTGGATAGCTGTTTTATCCAAGTGTGAACCTTCTCATAGTTGATTACTTACTACATCATTACAGTGGATCGAACACATGATCTTCAAGTCTCGAGGTGATAGCTTAACCTCTAGACTACTGAGTTGGTATCCAACATTTCACACATCTAAATGAATCAATTTTTGATACTACCTAACCATCTTCGATTATTTTCGGTGAGTGACCACTTCCTCACACCTGAAATATTTAAACTCTACTGGTCACAACTCTTCACTATAACTTTGCGAATTTCCTATTGAAATTAGTCCCAGTGGTTCAGAAGTTAGGTGTTCATCATAACATCTGAGTGCTTAAGATTCTATCCCACATGGGGTCGTTACGTTAAAAAAAAATGACCTGTTTCGAGACATATAACTATCATCTATTCAATTCATGTCATGCGATACATTAGGTCATCATGGATTAAAGACTTTGATTAATAATTCTGTTTCGATAATTTGGTTGACAGCAAATTTTGGTCAACCGGTTAGTGTATGTTGACTGTGAATCAATAGATTGGTCCCGCAACAGGACGAGACAGATGTATAATACTTCCAAATCTTCAGGTGTGGTCCAAATGATGGTAACGTTTGATTACAACATCATTCAAAACCCTTATTACTATACAGCGTAAGTTAGAAATACAAGTTAATGATAAGTATTTCAGAGTTGTGACTTTTCGGAATCTGCTGCCTTAATGCCTATGCAATAACTGGTTTGAATGAATGGATATCCAATAAACATTAAGTGTTCCTCTATGAAAGGGGTATTATGTTCGTTAATTTTGTTTACTTACTAGGAAAATTAGGACTGGAAAGAAATTATTGCTGAAACGAGTGTTACAATTCATTGAGAAAACATTATTTAATGGCAAATATGTCCACCTTGTCCTCATACTGTTGTAACAGGTCTGAAGTACCATATCATTTATAGAAATAAAATATTATTGTTTATTACTTTTTATCAGAAAAGTCTAGTTGTCTGATTTTTCTTCAGGAAAGTACAGCAAAAATATTGGCTATATACTGCGAATGTATTGTACCTAATATATATAATCTAGTTCTGATAATCTTCGTTTTCTCATTACATTATCTGAATTTCGAATACAGTTTATTGAATTAGTAAAAACATTTAAGGTTAAAAGTGACTATCCATGAATAAGCTACTGGCTTTATTTTGACTTTTGTAATTAATTAGGCTAAAATTTACATATAATTGTTGAAAACTGCCTTATAAAAGGTGGAATGGTATTGAGACTATATCATTGAAATTGAACTTCCACATAATATCAATGTAATGACATTAAACAACTTCGTCTGTAGTTCTTCTAGGGTTACTGCCGGTCCCAAGCCCACAAAAAAGAGGAGGGTTGAGTGTGGGGTTAGCATCCACATCGCGTAGAAAACAAGCTTGTTAAAAAATGCTAACCGCGATAAACAAATCAAATAACTTAAACACTGTCATCATTCAGAAAAATTATGACGCCTCATTATGAAAGCCGAGATTCTTCGGAAGTTACGAGGTCGATGCCCTTTCTAACAACCAGAGCAAACACATTAATATAGGTACATGGAACGTCCGGACAATGTAGGAGACCGATAATATCAACCAAATAGCTGTGGAAATGGGGAGAAACAATTTAATTGTGTTAAGAATCAGTGAGACCCATTGGACCTAAGCTGGACAGAAAGATATATATTCGGAAGAGATGCTGTTGTACTCTGGTTACAAAGAAGAAAATGCTCCACACACCCAGGAAGTTGCTCTGATGCTATCCAAAGAAACACAAAATGCACCTATAAGATGGGAATATCATGGACCCATGCCAAGACAAAACTGAAGCTAGAGAAGCACTAGACAACTGGACAAACAGCATTACAAAAGTTCAATACAGCATTCCTTCGACATTCTGACAAACTTCACGGATTCAAGATATACTCTCAACAACAGGTTACAAGCCTTACAAGATCTACTGAAAGAAGAATAAACTATTATGGAAGACAACTGGAAAAGGATCAAAGGAGCACGAACTTCAACGTGTCAAGAGGTTCTGGGACTCAAGAAGGATCACCATGAGGAATGGATCTCTATGGAAATCCTGCACAAGATTCAAGAAACGAAGAAAAAGACGGTAATTAACAACAGCCGAACAAGAACAGAGAAGATTAAGGCAAAATCTGAATACACAGAAGCAAACAAACAAGTAAAAACAGCATTATAGATGATAAACAGAAATATGTGGAAGATTTGGCAACGACAGCGGAAAACGCCGCAACAACAAACATGAGACAGCTATATGACGCGACGAAGAAACTAGAGGGGAAATACAATAAACGAGAAAGACCGGTCAAGGACAAAGAAGGTAACCCGATCACCGAGATTCAAAAACGGATGGGAAAAATAATTCGAGGAACTCCTGAACAAACCGGCTCCGTCGGATATCGAACCAGCACACAAAGACCTTCCTGTAGATGTCAAACCACCAACGATCGCAGAAATCAGGCTGGCCATAGGACAAAATAAAGAGTGGGATGTCAGCAGGACCTGACAATATACGATCTGAAGCACTTAAGTCAGACATAGAAAAAATTGCAAACGTTCTATTCGGGAAGATTTGGGAGGAAGAACAAATATCACCGACAAACTGGAAAGAAGGATATCTTATCAAGATACCAGAGAAAGGAGATCTGAACAAATGTGGAAACTACAGAGGCAACACACTACTATCGGTACCAGGAAAGTTTTAAATAGAATGCTTCTGAACTGGATGAAAGATTTAGTTGACGTCCAACTTTGGGATCAACAAACCAGATTCAGTGAGGCTCGGCCGTGCACAGACTAAATGGCGACACTACGGATCACCGTTAAACAATCAATTGAATTGAATTCGTGACTGTACATCAACTTGCTTATCTATGAGAAAGTATTTGGTTGCCTGAATAGATTTTCATGGAACCTTCTTCGGCACTATGGTGTTAGTAGCTGAGAAGATCGCCAAAATCATCCGGAATTCATACGAAGGACTACACTGCAAAGTGATATGTGGAGGGCAGCTGACAGACACATTCCAGGTGAGGACCGGTATCATACAAAGTTGCTTTCTCTCGCTCCCTTCCTCTTTCTCCTGGTGATTGGCTGGATTATGAAGACCTCGACATCTGAGGAAAGCATTGAATACAATGGACAGGTTACATGCAAATAGACGACTTGAACTTTGCAGATCACCTGACCATTCTATCCCGTACACACCAACGAATGCAGGTCAAGATAACCAGTGTAGCAGCAGCCTCTGCATCAGTGGGCCTCAACATACACAAGGGGAAAACCGAGATCCTCAAACACAACATGGAGAACACCGACCCAATCACATGATGGAGAGACCCCGGAAGAGGTAGGAACGTTCACGTACCTGAACACCATCATCCATGAACAAGGAGGATCAGATGCAGAAGTGAAGGTGAGGATTGGCAAGGCAAGGCAAGGACAGTATTTTTAAAGCAATTAGTCCCCTTGATAAACTTCGATAATGTAATAAGAAGACGAAGATTATCAGAATTGTGATATATTGGCGCAGTGCATTTCGAACAATCTGATCACACATATACTTGTTAAGAGCATTTATATATAAAACTAAAATGGCAACTAGACTGGAAATGTGGTAAGTGGAGATAAGGATAATAATAAGAGTAATAATAATGTGAACACAATTCCAGAGTGATTAGGTTTCGAATTGTGTTCACATTATTATTATTAGTTGTAACTAAGAGCGTGTGTTAGTAAATTATTTTCGGTCGACATGTTCTTGAAATAGAGAATTTGTTCAAAATCATCTCCGTAACATGGTTCTCTGTCATATATATTTTAATCGGGAGTTGCCTTGAAGTTATTCACGACGAACCATATTATGTATATCTAGTTTAGGGCAATCAGAGTTCCTGTTTTCAATCAGCTGTCAAGTGAGAGTTAGTGATCTAAAGAGTAAATCCTTTTTACTTTGCTTAAACCTTACACAATGATTCTGAATTTCTGCATGAAATTCGAACAGGTTTTTCGTCTCTGCTTAACGTAAAGTGATAATATAGATCATTAAACTGAAAACATATTTTTAATTATCGATGAAGAATAAAATAAACGAGATATCTAATTTAGTCTAAAGTTTTCTGAAGCAAATGAAAGTGCAATCAATAGAATTTAATTGAGACCTTTTTTTGCTATCTTATTTTTATCCAACGAAAATGAAATGTAGGACTTTGAAATTTATTGTAGTTATCTAAAAAACCTTAATACATTTTATTTGCCTATATATATTGTTTCGAAATTTGTTAATCTCACACTTCAAAACAATTCATCATTGGTTTCATGTTACTACTTCCATGACCATTGATTCTAATTTAGTTCTTATAAAATGCGTAATTAATTTATCATGTTAAATAATGAACAGTTTTTGTATCGTATGAATAACATTATGTTTTGTATTCTTTGTTACTATTATTAACAAGCATATCATTTTAAAGGTACAGTTTAATTGTAATTACACCTCGTCACTGGTTTATCATTTCAATTCTTTTTATCTTTTTTTTGACAGAATTTCATGTTTCTGGATTTATTTATCGGAAAATATGCTTGATCTCCAAATTATGTGTTCGATTAGTCTTTACAAAATGTTTTGTGTAGTTGATTTTCTGTGATTCACTATATGTCTGTTTTCGATTGGCATTAGCATAAATATATAAATTAAAGTCTATCTGCCTTCTCACATTGTTGCCAGACTGATAAAAAACTCTTGTCAATTAAAGGTTGTATTTTTTTTAGCCTGTTATGTGATGGTTATGAAATTTACGTTTTCGATTTGTTTTGTGTAGCACTTATTTTAAGATAACAAGTATTCTGAATTACAAATATATATCACATCATGAACTGTTGCTTGAAACTTGCAAAAATTTGTAACACTGGTCGTTATTAAACTATGTTTTTCTCATTTCACAACAACTACTAGAGCCAGAATCTTATCTAAATAAAACAAATCAAGTAGAATAATATAGAATTTTAGATTCCGTAGTTTTTGCGTCATCTGATTAAGTCCCTAGCTGAATTAACAAAGTATACCTAATGAAATTGAAAAATGAAACGATGTTGCATAATTGTAACCATAATAGCCCTTTTCTAAAAAAATGACTAGGAATATTATATATATAAATAGTTGTACTCTGATGATCCAACTGAATTTGTTAACAGGTAATAAGGCTCCATGAAATATATTGAATTCATACTATTCCACTTCAATCGTTGTTCATGTTCCATTCGTATAAGAAAGAAAACGCTAACTGTATCACATCTTAATTGTTAAGTTTATGTTTTCGGTCAAATCTATAAAATTTAACTATCTATTCTCAAACAGATTGCATTCGATTAGAGTGTCATCCGGAATTAGGTGAATTGCACTTTGAACAAGTGAGTCAACGGTTGAAACTCATCTATTTGAGTTACAAAACTACTATTTCAGACTTATTATTTTAAAAAATAAGAACAACCAATCAGTATGTATTTACCTAAGGCTGTAAAATAGAATATTAAGAAGCAATGAGTTTATCACGTAACTACTTACCTCTAATAGTTTTTTCTCAACTCCATTGTTCGATTCTCGATTAGTTTCAGAGTTGTTTACTCGTTTACCTAAATCCGATATAAGTTCATCTTTGGTTTTGTTTGAAACATTTGATTGTGTACACCGACAAACTATGTCTATCCATGCATCAACAATTGACTGTTTCTCGGAGATTAATGCATTTGACAAACGTCGTTTTGCTTCAGAGTCCTTAAAATAAAAAAACGTTTCAGAGTATGGATCATTTGAGATTGGGTCACTCATAAATATATGTAATGTGTTATTCAGTGTTGTGCAGTCTTCAGAAAGTGTTATTATTGAAGCTATATCATGAATTATTTTGTAAGATACCCTTGAAATCTGATTTTACAGCGTATAATTTTATCGGGAAGTGATTAACTTCATCAGTCTCATTTATCATAAGTCGCAATTATAACTAGATAACTAACATTCTTTAAACATTCCAAGATATAAGCAATGAGTACACTAATAGCAGGTTTTTACACAAGTCTGGCTATCGATAAAGCAATTTAAATACTTTTATATACAGTTTTAAAACGTTGAGGTGTCACTATAGTACAATATCTTGGCTTTCTTCGAAATACCGTAGCATCTTGGTAAGATTAAATAACAGTAATAAAATTACATGATAGTTTTGAAGATTAGCATTTGTTCAAACTTCTAATTCATAACAAAATTATTATTGGTAAACAAACTAATGGAGAAATATTAAAGTAAGCAACCGCAGATTTTGTAGAAAAAAAGAATAACAAAAAGGTATAAAATACCCACAGTTTGTGCTTTAAAGCTACAATAACTCAAAAGCAAAAATACAAGGGTCACGTATCATTTGCCAAACAACATGTAAATTGTAATATAAGATCATAGAAAAAAGGAGACATAGTCATTAAATGTTTATTCGGAAGATGAAGTGATGATGCGTTCGCATCAGTTGAACTGGTATTAATAAATGTTTTATTAAAGTTATGACTGTCGTTTATAATTGTGAAAAGTAATGTATTTTTATACAACTTGGATCACAGGACTTAATGGTGGGTAGTAAATGTATGGGCTTAATATATCCTGACCATTTTAAATGAAGTCTTGCAAATTCCTTAATCGAATAGCTCTTCTCAGATATTCTTGAATTAAAATTAGAATCTAAACTCACTACTAAATGTTATTGGATTACTTGTTTAGAAACTTTCAGTGTTTAGTTTTGTTAAGCTGTCTGAGTATTTTAAACGACATCGTGTAGGAAATATAGAAAAAACACAGCAAACATAATTTGTTCCAGCAATACCTGTTTAATAAAATTGAATGGATCTTCTGAATTCCCAAAACTAGCACTGTTTACAGGAGCTTTGCGTTTTTCATCCTTTGTTATATATACACCTGGTATTTTCAGTTTTTCTACTTTGACAGGTAAAATTGAAATATGATTTACTGATTCTGTGGAATGTTTCTCTCCATCAGTATTTCTATTCTCTGCTTGATCTATAATTTGGTCTTATAATACAATATTTTGTTTATAAATAATGGCTTACTTTTTAAGTTAAACTGATGAAAGGATTCATTTGAAAATACGGAAGAGGCATCATTGTCAGATTTTTCACTTTCTGACAAAATTGAATTACTGTTGTGAATTACATTTAGCAAACGATTACTTTTACTTCCCCATGAGCCTTAAGATGAAAAAATAGAGTAGGACAGTTAATGTAAGACATATTTTTAAAACTTTACAAATTAAATACAGGAGAAAGATACCGATAAAGAAAATTAGTCAAATATATATTTCTTTAAATTGTAATAGATTATAATTTATTTGAGCCTACAAATTAGGTGTATTTGTAGCCTAGAACTTGATTATTCAGAATGAGCGTTTGCATGACTATTTATGTTGGAAACTTCTGTGATACACATATCAAAGAAGAAAATATCTTCTTAACTCACTATAGAGAATCTTACTATTTTGATTTTAAAAACAAAGTAATTATTCAATAAGGTAATATGTAAAAATTCAATTGATAGTATTCATCAGTGACTTAATAAACAATTAAAAAACATACAGGATTTGATAATATCTTGTATCAGACCAAGTTTTTACAACTTTCACCAATACATTTATAGAAGAAATCAACAAGGAGAAATGTAAAGGAATCGAAAAAGTATCAATGATAGTAGAAAAATAAACATAGAAATTTAATCTGATAGTAAATTAATGGGATGAAGGACTATGAATAATAAAAATAATGATAAGGAAGAAAATTAGAAACTAATTGACTTTGGAATATATTACCCAAGGTCACTAGCAATTACTCAAGATCGCCTTTTGAATCAGAACCAGGAAGTTTGGAACTCCAAACGTAGTTCAATTTATTGATTTATTGAATTAATTGATCCCTTATTTGATTATGGGATCCCCTAATCGATTTGTAAGCTGCTTGCCATTCCAGTGAATATGATAACCCGGAGTAGGTGATGGGTGGACATACTCAAAATGTGTAGCATCCAACTCAGGGGTGACTAATATTAATTGAAAATTTATGACACTAAAGAAAGCTCTGTAACGTTGAACTGTTTCGAGTTAACTACCACTATGTATGGATTAGCCCATGATCTGCAGCTTTTATAATGAAAAACTATGAATTATTGATAAACCACAAACATGATCTCTTTTCCATGGTTTCTGATATGACTTAATGATTTTAAATGAATATCAACTTGTGATAGAGTTGAAGTTCCCTATTATTAATATTTATGAATTCACTTGCCTAACTCTGCAAGTATGTGTTAATCTCATTAGTGTGAACGGTTGACTTTTGTTATATTCTTCCTGTTTGCTGTCTTTCTTCAAGCTTTCGCCTCAAATTCATCAACCAAGGAGTATATCAAGCCTCTATTCTTATTTTTATTATCTGTTGTAGTTATAGACTGTCTGCAGCTGATGAGAAGCTATAAAATAATATTTCCTCGTTTCGTCCTAAAATATTACTAGGAAAACTAGATATACATAATATTGTAGTTTACTTAAAGCGTAATATGAATTAATACAGGTGAATTAATATGGTTATTTCTTATTTAACCAACAGATATGTTGTGTTGAAATTGCTATGTTCTCAAACTTGCATTTTGGGTATTAGTTAATATTCGCATGAATACTGTAAGAGACATTTTAAACTAACATGTTAACTTTTCGAATAATTAACAACTAAAAGTTGTGGAACAACTCAATTCAATGTGAATAAAAACTAATGTGTGGTGCATTATGCAAATTATGTGCTTTTACTAAAACTTGATAAGACAATAAAATAGTTAAAAAATGGATTTACAAGTCCGTAATTATCATAGTAATATTATTCTATTACTTTTCCTGAATGAAAACTAAGTGTAAAAGACCGTTATACTGATAAATGTAATCGAAACAGTATATGTTATATGCCTGCTCAAAACATTCTCTTTCGTAAGTCAACTCATTTATTCTCATGATTACTGACTTAGTTTGTATGGCATTCTTTAGCTAAATAAAATCACAAACTGAATGAAGAATTTTCTTTCCAAAAAATTCTGATCAGGTTCTAAATTCAAATTAATGTTTCAAATGGATAGCCAAGTTCAATGGAAAATCTTGAATTTATAACAGGCAGTTATAAATTGGTTTTAATAAGTAGATTCTTTATGAATTTTGTAACTAAACAAAGAGATAAATTACAATTATAATGACATTATGCGAATGCTGGTACTTATAAACAATGTTGGCACATTTTTATATTTGTATACAGACATAATCTAGTTTTATATAAGTCTCAATGACTATTAACACATAAATATCACAGCATGAATTTATAAAATGTTCTTGGTTTACTACTATAATATCAATATTTCGTAATATTGTTTTTTATTCAAAAGTTAACAAGTTGAATTATTTCACATTGATATTCTGAAGAAATGATTATTTTAATGATGATAGATTGAGATCTTTGCCCTATAACTTTATAAAACAAAATAAAGATAAGTGTTGACCATTAATACTGAACTTAATGGAACTTATCATTATTAACTATAAGGTTCCATGGTTATATCGAATACGGCATTATGGATAGAAGTTGAAGAATAAAATTGAATCGGGACAATGGTCGACAATTTAGTGATTCCTGTTTTCAGTGTTTGTTCATACGGTTGAAGCTGGTGAGCAAAAGTTACTTTTCAGTTTATTTATATATTATTCTATTTACAAATACAACAAAACACTTTTAAACTTTTGCTAGGAACAAATAAATGGATGTAGTTTATCCAAGTTTGTTAGTATCTTGCTTCAGTGTTCATACTGAATAATATATTACATTACATAACTTACCCGAACCAGATATAATCACTGGAGAAGTTGACTGATTTGATATATTTGACAAAGATCTGAAATTAGAGTATGCCATATTTAAGATTATGATTACGTATGTTTGATTAACTTGTTATTTGTTGTTTATGATAAAAAAAACAAATCCACTTGTATTTTTCGGTCTAAATTCTAGTGATTAAATGACATGGTTATGAGAATGAAGCTACACTGATTAGTGTTGCTTCATGTAAAATATCCTATTCACAGAGTTAAATGATCCTTTCAATGTAGCTGAGCTATGTTGTGTGTGAGGTAGTTGTCGACTACAAGTAATGAAAGATGGTTGCTTAATGTCGAGAACTGATCTAAATAAGACATGAAAATCGCTGGATGTCGTCTCAGTGGTCTAGAGCTTAAGCGCGTTAGAACGAGACCAAACATCGTGGACTCTACTTTTGTGGTAGAATCGTAGATGTGTATTGCTCAGAAGTTTCACAATAAGATGAAACAGGTGTTCAATGCTTTCTGTTTAACCAATATTAATCCATGATATAAACTGTAACAATTAGTTATTCACTGGAGAAAAACACAGGTACAAACCTATGCATTACGTAAATAATTTACAAACTGTTTAACCGTATTTAAGAAAATATTTCATAAATGGACTTATTCCAAATGCACATAGTCATTTTTATTTTATTTATTGATCTACCTATTAAGTTCAATAGTAATTTTCTGAACTATTATTATATTATTTTATTATCTTAAGGTAGTTTGTTATTAAACTATTTAGATAAGTTTCATTCTACTTTGATTAGATAATATCAACTAGTTCACAGTTTACTTAATTGTATGTAGTAACATAAAACAGAACTAAAACACTTGTACTTCTAATTACTAGTTTGAGATAAGATTGAATAATGAATTTCTGATTCCATTTTGATGCTCAATAATCGATAAACATAATTATACATTATTTATATTTAATAAATGAGATTATTATATGTTTAAGATTTATGCAATAAGATTATCAATATATCTGTTTTAACAATTCAGAAAGCACTGAATAAATATATACAATACTAAATGAGGTATGCTTTGTAGTCAGTTTACTTGGAGAAAGTACTATATGAAGAGGTAATTTAGATTTTCTTAAAGAATTAGTTAAGAGTGTTGGTTTTGAAAGAGTCAAATAGAAAATCAGATGTTTAGTACTCTATGATTGCTTAAATAAACATCCGTTTTGAAAAATAACTCTTAAGGTTTACATACGAAATAATAGTGTACTTTATATAAGATAACATTTTCAGTTATTTCCTAAACAGATACTGAAATATTTGTAATACTACTGTTGTTCATAAAATTAAACCGGTTTATGGCATGTGAATAAAAAGAGGGGAATTATTTGCTTTTGGTTAATAAATATTGACATTTAAAACTAATTACCTTAGAACTGCTTCAGATGATTTACAGTTAGGTTGATAGAATTTATTTGACGGCCGGAACCTATCTGAAGTGTTAAGTAAAACAAAATGTATAATTATGCAACTATCTAATTATATAATACAAAATTCTGTTATAAAAAGCAACAAAATGGTTTTAAGATGAAGTCAACTGTTTCACATAGTTTTTAGCATCATCATTCTAGAAACTGATAGTTTAGTTGTGAATTAGTAAATTTCTAATGGACAGCACTCAACTGGAATTACTGTGTTTTTTCTTTGTGATGACTGAAATTTATTATCTTAATTTTTTTTTAGTTGACGTTTGTTGTAGTCGTAATACTTACTTCTTACTAATTAATATCTGAGTAGTGATATATATATCAATTGTGAAGTCTTTAGTGAAATTAAATTCTAGGAATCCAGTCTTAATGTATATGTACTCTAAGTGGTTTGATATTGGTTACTGCTGAGGAATGAATTGGTGTTACTATAACAGTCTTGGAGGAGGTTAACCATACCCTGAATAGCTCTATGCTAAAGTATCTCTCTATTGGTCATGTTACACTTGTAGATATTCATTCTTAACAAGTATCAAATAAAAGAAAACATAGTTTAATACACAATTTTCTTCCTAATGACTCCAACAATTGTCTTATTTTGTCCTGATAGCTTTAAAATTTAAAAATTATACTAATGTCGATGCTGACAAGTTCTCAGGAAATAAGCATTTTCTACCGAAACATAGTGTTAATTTTTTTTAAAATGCATGGAACATCATCAATTTACTAAGGTAAAAAACATAACTACTTTTAAAAACACCAATCTTTAAATAGTAAGTTAAAACCGATATCTTTTTTCAATGTCAATCAGTTATTTGTCTTTACCAGTTTTGATTTTTTGTTAAGAAGTTTAAACCCAGCTTTTAGTCTATAATCAGTTTATAAATAGAACAATAAAACGATGGTTTAGTAAATAATCTGTAGATTGCGTATTTAAGCTTTGCCTTATATGTCTATGTGATCATTTAGGCGATATTATTAACTCTCACGAAATGTGGCTTACTGTTGATTACAAAAAATCTATATTTAATGAATGTATTACCATTAGCAGTTAATCAGTAGTATTAATTCAAACGTTACATATTGAAGTTCAAAACAACAACAAATAAAGTACTTTTGCTTGATTAGTTTCTCATTGACAGGTTGCTTTTGAACTTCCATTTCTCATCGTTAAAATAAATTATTCAAAGGTTTTATTTTCAAGTTTAGCTATTTGACTTAAATTCTTATTAAATTATTAATGTAATTTGAGTTAAAATTTTACGCATAGTTTTCAAATCATTATTAGATGATTATTGTAATGTTTTCATTCATATTCACTGAGAGTAAATGTATTTTTTAACTACAAACATTTTCATTGATTTAGAGTCAAAAAATTTTCATCTGTTTTAATTGGGAGATTGGTTAATTAGGGAATTCTTAGAAACCCTTATATGAACTAATTATATACTCCTTATATATATACTTCTTATATAATGTCAACAGAATTGGGTAAGTTTACTTCTTGTAAATAATGGCAACCTGTAAATGCAATATTGTCCAAAGTTCTAAACAGTAATTTAGTTGAAGTTTCGAAGTGGTATTACTTAGATTATTGAATCGCTGTCAGAATAAAATACTGACCAATATAAGAAAAAGCCTAAAAATATAACTAAATACAGTTATGATCACTATAGTATATTAGAGCAGTAAACGAACTACCTACCTGAAGAGTGTGTTAGTCCCACTGGTTTACGTCGTCTTAATTTTGTAAAACTGTAAATATAATTAACCAAGCGGTTGGAGAAAAGTTAATTCATTGATCATAATGTAATAATGAGTTATAAAGATTACACTGAAATGTTTTAGTATTTAGACATGGTAAATTTTATTTTAAGGATGTACTTATCAATATATATTGAGTTGGACACAAATACAAGTTTAAAAACTTGATCAAAAGAAGACAACAAAGGATTTTTAAGAGAAAAATACGAACAATTATGCTGGAGGTTTTCAAAATGTCAAACAAAATTACCGAACTGTAATTAAAAAACAAGTAATGAAAAATACAAATGAATTAGGATTCAAGACAAAACTAGAGAATGGATGCAACTATGTTGATTGAGGTGACATCAAGTCTACGTAATAATGATCAATATTTACGCTAGTCTCAATATCTCCTACGAATTTCAACTCATGAAATAAGTAAAATATCTATTTTTACTTCTCCTGAAAAACGTAGAGTCTATAGAAAAAACTTTTGAAAATGTTTTCTTTCATTTAGAGATGAATACCTGATATAAGTTTGTTAATATATGATTTTTAAATATTTCTTTAGGAGCTCAACAATCTGATTACGAGAAACATATTACGTATAGTGTGCAAATATAAACAAATTTAATTATTTCCATCCACATGAGGTGCAGTATTACTACAGAATAACGAGGAACACATATACTGGTAAGAATGGATGTGAAATTCCCATTGTTACACAGTGTTAAGTTGGTCGCATTTGTTTGGAAGTTCGATTTAGTAGAACTATTTCTGCAAACGATAAGAAACCGATAGAGTATCAGTTCAAGTAGAATTATTTTTCTTTTATCCCATTAAAATGTTACTTCTAGTAGGATGTCTGTGACAAAACTATTTAATAAAATATAGGCATTTTTTGAAATGATTCAAGTGAATTAATTGACACCTATATATTGTAACCCATATTGATATATCAGAGTCATTAGTTGAATCAGTGACTTTTTGTTAGTCATTTAGAACCAACTTAGTACACAATGTTTGCGAAAAATAATTATTCTAAGTAATCAGGCATATTGAAAAGAACAAGAACAAAGATTTTATCAGTGAATGAAAAGACAACCTTTGATAACCACCAAGCATACCTAATTTTATCCAAATACAACTTAAAATATTAGCAGTTTGCACTTCAATCTGAGACATGAATCCTCGACATCAAATTGAAGGTACAATGTTCGCGACGACCAGAAATAAAGAATTGTGACTCAATTATTACAATTAACTAATTTTACTACTTGTAAGTAGATGAGGTGAATATGGATATTTATGTCATAGCTAAAATTTACAGTTAATTTTCAAAAATTTGGCATATTTTAAAGAATAGAAATGTCAATGCTGATTATGTATAAACTTTAGTGCTTAAACGGATTATTGTGTACAACAGTTAGATGAATCATGGAAGCATCCCTGTACTATAAAACGATTTATTATTTTAAGGTATATGCTTTCATTATAACAACATTAGTTCAGCTACGTAAGTTTTCTCCTTTTTTATTTGAAAAACCTGTGAATTTACATTTAATTGATATAATTAACGTGATGATTGAGTCTTGTATGTCAGTATGCATGCGTTTAATGAGTAACGCATAGTTTTGTCGAACAATAACCATTTAGATATATAAGGTGCAACATAGGGTAATGTCTTCAACCTGTGATCGAATACAATCACGAACAATATAACTAATTTCTATATACATGAAAAATTGTCATACGTACAAGATTGTTTTCGGAAAATCCTGAGTATCATATAGTCTGAAGAAGCAGTAGTGGAAGTATGCGATGAACAATCACGGGAGGTAGCTGAAGATAATTTTAAACAAACTATTCAAAAACTAAGTGGATATTTTATAAAAATATCAGAAATAAGATAACGACTTAAAAAAACATAAACGTTTATGGTTCCTACTGTTATTTAAATGGAGAATTTTCAAGGAGAATCCTGCTAACAAAAGAACAAGGAACTCTAATCAAAAGATTATTCCAATACAAATAAAAACAACAAAAACTAATTAGTTCATTGTTACGCTACTTAAATAAAACAAACTTATATTGGTTTTTAGTTTTATAAATGTTTACTCTGAATGAATGTGATACTACAAAAGATTAAACACATATTATATATATTAGGATCTATGGTAGATTTTAGAAACACATGCTTAGTATAAGGGGATTTGTGCTCAAGCTACTACAAACAATTAGAAACGCATTACAGTTAGAAATAATGACGTTCATCTATAACAATGAAAAGATAATTGTTTCTAATGTTATCAATTAAAAGCGACTAATTGTTTTAAATTTAATAAAAAGTGGTTAGATTATGGAAATTATTTGAAGAAATGAACCAAATTATCAGCTGATTCTATATATGGAGAAGAATCAACCAAATTAGTCTTTGTATACCAACATAGCTCAACTTAACAGTCAATGTGTACATGGATTAATGCTGACATAGTTTGGCCTCTCATAGATTTCTTTAAACCTACTTCTGCACTGATGGGGGCCGCTTATTGAGGAAGGAGGTGGTCAGGCATACGTGGCATTTGTCATAAGCATCTCCGTAAATGAACATTCTTTACCTCATCAACAGATTTATCGCCATCGCCTAGTGCTCTATGCTTAACTTCATTATTGCCCACTCGCTCGTTCCAGGAAACGCGAGTAATTTTTCAAAGATACTTATGATCGAGAATCTTCAGCCTATGCATGTCATTACATGTCATAGACCATGTTTATAAGCTACAGAGTAACACAGAGAAGACTTCTGTGAAGCCTATAGGCATACTTGTTGTCAGGCGGATGTCGGACTCATAATGCAAGTGATATAAGTTTGTAAAAGCCATGCGGGATTTGAGAAATAGATCCTGAGTTTCTTTTAGACACCAACCCAACAGAGCTGGTGAAAATTCTAAGATAAGAGAAGTGGTAAACGCGCTCAACCACTTCAAAATCAGTTAAAAAACCTTGAAAATATTATACAGCTTTCTTGGAAAACATGCAGTAGCTATCTACTTAGTTCACGAAATAACTATTCTATTGACTATCATTCGGTCGAAGTCTCAGGTTGCTCAAAACCAAACACTTTAAATTAATCAGGGATCAATCTAGTAGTTACGATAACACAATGTAGCTGTTCACATACATTACAAATATAACAAAGATTTAAACATGCTAGCCAAACTAAAAACAAGGAAATCTTGGCACACGAAATATAGCAAAGATAATCTAATGCAAATATCAAACATATGAAACATATTGAATTAGATCAATAAAAGAACAGACAAATTCAGAACATAATTTCTGCATAATATTGATCAGAAATCATGTTGCTTTAAATGTTACCTCTTTTTTGTCACATCTCTTATATATAAATAAATGATCATAGAGTGGTGAGATATTGTATGAAATTAATTGCCAGCTTTATAAACTATGAGATGGTATTCTATATATATATAATAAAATGATATTGTTAAAATTTCAAAATACTTTACTTGTAGATAGAATATATAACAACATGCTTAATGTTTCAAATGTAGTGTTAATAAATCGTTGATGAGAATCTAGTTTGGTTTATATTGAAAAAATTTCCATTACCTTAGGATAAATTGATCTGATAACAGTTCATTAGCGCTAGCACGATTGGATGGTTCTATGATAAATGTTTTCAGTATGAAGTTTTTGCAAGCTACTGAAACTCCATCAGGGATCTTGGGGTGTTGCAAATCCATACCAACTCGATATAGAGCAGTCATTGCATTCCCAAGCTAAGTTGAACAAAAAACGACAGTCGAAGAAGTGAAATAGAGAGAAGTATTGAAAATTCCTACAAAACTAAAAGGGAGCAAATTCCGTTAATTTTCAAGACTATTCAAAATATGTATGTATGAATGAATCAAGTATTATTTCAGGATGATAATGCAAAAATTCACACTAAGAAACATAATTGAATATAATAGATAAACTGTGTGAACTCAGGGAAAAATATGAGACAACTGGTCTAGATGTCGAATATTGACTGATCGGCAAATTGGAGCTAGTAACAGTTGTATCAATAAAGCCCACCAAATCCACGAAAGAAAGCAGAATATGAAGATGCATAAATTATCAAACTTATTAAGATCTACTTCAACAAATGGAGGTGATTACTTCAGCGTTACTTCAGTCATCAATGTTATTTAAGTCCATTAACAGCTATATTGATATGGTTTTGAAAAACTCTAGATATAAATTGTTTTTCTGGTCTCATCATAAGTGTGGAATGCATTGAATATATATGCTACTGGATTCCTTTAGCCTAATAATGTAAAAGATCAAACATTACTTCTGTATAGTAAGACAGTCTATTGTCGTTACATCCGGTTTTTCGTTGGTGAACAGAGATCTCATCGGGTTCATATATTTGATCTTTGGTAATCTATTTTTATTGTACTATTAGTGACAAACTATTCTAAATTATGGACAATCGGTGTTCTTTTTCCGGTAGTCCATATTACGTTTTAGTACACTAGTACGTATTCATCATATTGTAACATCATGTTCACTTGTTTTATTTTTTATGCAGTTGTTAAATTTATTTCCTGTCATTGAGATTACTTGAAAACTTGGTCTTCAGTGGATGAAATTATAAATAATGTACATAAACCAAAGAAAGACATTCAAAGTAAGTGGAATGACTATGAAAATTATGTGCTTTCAGTTTTGGATAAGTGGTGTTTAAATTTTCATGTTATTTCTTCTTCATATTTGTTTAGTCGAATATGTAGACTTAATGTTAACTCGATTATAGATGAGAAGATAAAGTTAACCCACATTTTCAAGTAGCGATGCTGAAACAAGCATGGGAATTAGTATGAGTGATGGATTCACAATTGTGTTTATATGTAACTTCAACAGATTTAAACCAAAAGCGCACATAGAAGTAAAATATTGAGATCCAGATTTCCTTTCGTTATTCTATATACAAGTAGTAATTATAAAAGATGTGAAAGTTTATAGAAAAATAGTTATGCAGTCTTAAGCACAAAAATTGATCACATTCACTACATTTTTATGGTTGAAATTGAACAGTTGATTAACAAAATCAGGATCTTGTTTTAAGTATGAGTTTCACAGAAGTCGATGGGTTACTTAAAACAAAAATGCTACTTTCTTATAAATAAAGTTTCTATAAGTTTTAACGTTTACGTAAGTATAGAAACGGTTAATTGCTACCTAACATCTGCCATTTGATTCAGTTGGAACGTAATATGATTGACCGGAGAACTAAATAGGATTAAGTAGAGTTGTTCTTTGGTATTACGGATATTATTTGATTACCTGTACATCTCATTTATGTGTTTGTAAGATTACTTTAACATCCTACTGTATGGCTTGAAGTAGTAGATTTTTGGATATATTTCGTTAGAAACTACACGTTACGAATTGAATTGACGTTATCTTTAGATTATGTTATGAGCTTAATCTATAGAAACATCACAAAGAAGACCAGAACATAACCAAATGACATGGAAACTAGTGATGCAATTTCAACCATAGAACTTTAAATGATACGCAGTTTATGATCTAAAGGGAATCAATCTATTAATTGTCACCTGTAAATGTACTGATTACCAATATCCTTACAGATGAGACCATAGCAGAAACCAACTGTTATTTAAAGAAGTCTTAAAAACGACAAAACAAGAAGTTACGACTTCACTTCAGAGTCAAACAGAAGAAAACTCAGAAGGGAATAAATTGTTAAGTAAAAATGATTGACGATAGCTACCAAGGAAGAAATAAACATTAATCACTTTTGGATTTAACATCAATAGAAAATCAGAGGGTATGTAGATCTGTACTAATACCATTCATTTGGTTTATATCACCACTGGTTTTACAGCTTTATACGTTAAACTACTTATTCTTTAAACAAAGGTTGTATAATGGTATAACCAATCCGCTGACGAGCATACACCGCCTATTCTTAGTATGAAAGACCTTTCACTTTGGAGCACACTACTTTTTTGAATGGTACTATGTGATATAAATTTTTCACGTATTCGGTTTGTACTAAACATTCTTGACGCCTAGTCGGAGTACTCATACTAAGGGAGATTTCCAACAATGCTTTACGTTCTATACACTGATGGGAGGGACTAGAACATTTGTCTGTTAAGTAAACAAAAGTACAGAACGCCTACTTAAAGCTTTACTTCTAATCACATTCAGTAAGTAGTGTATTGTAACTAGTTTTGTGCGCTGTGGTTACAAATTTAATCTTTATGGGCTGAATATACCTGATCAGAAGTGAACAGTTTCAAAGAAATGTTAGTTAAAAATTGTCATTATCTGATTGTATATAAACTATAAATGTTAATGAGATCTTGGAATTTCGCCATGTTGAACTTGTTCATACAAGCTGTGAGTAAACCTTACTAATCACAGCAAATATTGAATAAGTTGAATTATACCCTTGGTTTATGTGTTGGCTTCGAAAGACCTTTATCTTCATCAAATTATAAATTGATTCAGAATATTTGTTTACATATTATTACCTCACTGAACGGCTGTTTTCCTGTCAACATTTCTACAACAGTACATCCAAAACTCCATATATCAGCTGGAAATCCACAACAACCCCTGATAAGTTCTGGTGCCATGTAGCGCATAGTACCTTAAATAATGGACATTAAAAACAGTAAAATATGTCAATTACGACAACATAGACAGGGTTATTCTGAACGCAAACTAGAGTTATTGAATTGTGTTGTAGACGGTTATGATACTTTCAAAATAATTTATAGATAGAAACAACTCAAATGCTCTTCGTTAAAGTGCTAAGTAGTAATAAGCTTAAACTTATGCGTCCAGAAAGAAACAGTCATCGATTTATTACCAAGTGATTTTCATGAGCACAAAATCATCAAGTATTCAGTCAATCCAGTTCGCAAATGCATTGCCTTATGTACCCATACCACGTCACTAAAGCAAGACTAAATCACTAAGACAAATTACAGAGTAGTATTAGTAGTAGAAATAGTAACAGTAGTTATATTAATGTAATGAACGAAACTCATGTAAGGTAAACCGAATTATTGTCCAATGCAAAATCACACAATAACCTACTAAAATATGAAAATCATACATTTGTACTGCTTTTGTGCATTATCCTTTATATAATTCTGTTGCTCTTTTGATTGCTTTCCTATTCACCCTTTTCTTCCCGTCTTAATATTCTGCTTTCTATTGCTGCTACGTACTACTTATATCTGTCAGCATAAGCAGCATACACGACAGTGGTTGTAGGAATAATTAGTCATAGACTATATGATTCGAGAAGAAAGAATGAATTCAAGAAGTAGAAGCTCAGGATCGAAGATATGACAAAGAGTAAACTGATCGACATCGTTGTGACTGACTCTGAAACTTATCATTCAAGGTTGCTAACTATTGGTTACGAAAGTCGCGAGAACCCTAATCAGACAGTCTTTATCAATTATTGTTGTCCGATTTGAAACTAATCTTTTGTTCATCGGGTGATTATCAATCATCCATAACTTATGTAGACTCATATCTTTTGTAACTACTCAACAACTATTATTAATTTTCGAATTTTAAATAATAAACTTTTTACTTAATTTGTTTCTGGTAAAAGTAATACCAAAGTCAGAATTTTCAACACAAATGTGAAGACAGTTCTACTATATGGGGCGGAAACTTGGAGAACTACGAAAGCCATCGTCCAGAAGATACAAGTGTTTATTAACAGTTGTCTACGCAAAATACTTCGGATCCGTTGGCCAGACACTATCAGTAGCAACCTACTGTGGGAGAGAACAAACCAGAATCCAGTGGAGGAAGAAATCAGGAGAAAGCGCTGGGAGTGGATAGGACACATATTGAGGAAAGCACCCAACTGCGTCACAAGGCAAATCCTCACCTGGAACCCTCAAGGCCAAAGGAGAAGAGGATAAACAAAGAGCACATTACGTCGAGACAGACATGAGAAGAATGAACAATCATTGGGTGGAACTAGAAAGGAAGGCCCAGGACAGAGTGGGTTGGAGAATGCTGGTCGGCGGCCTATGCTCCTTGAGGGGGTGGTTGGCAGGCATATGTAAGTAAGTAAGTTCTGGTAAAAGCATAATTTGCCATAGAAGCAGGTATATCATGTAATTTAAGCACCATTTAAAATTCATTTTATCGTTGTATCATAGATATTTTAATTGATTTAAAATATTCCAAAAACCAAATATTGTTGATTTTCACTTCATTTATAATAACACGAACTCCGTCTATTTCTGCACTTAAAACTTTGAGCAAAAAAATCGAGCTATTATCTTAATTCCGAATGGTTAACTCAAAGCTATCGGTATATAATACTTTAACCTGTTTTCTTGATATACATTCCAATGATCTTACATATGGATATGTAAGTATATACACGTACTAATTGATAAACTTTGTCACCTTAATTAATTGTTTAGCATTGTTGATTATTGGTTATCAATACGAATAATTTTCAAGAAGCTGATACCTAGAAAATGAATTTACTTTGGCTTTTTTTTTCAAATAGTGAATAAAATAAAGAACAATGATTCAGAAATTTGGTTAATATTAAAATTTATGTCAGCAAAATCATTTTTAAATGTTTTTCGTTTTAATGGAATGACAAACGATTGATTAAATTATTTTCGAACAGCTGATTGATAAATTACATTTGAATTAATTATTAGATAATTTTTTTTCACCATAGTTATTCACATCATATGATGATGATGATGATGATGATGATTCAAGATCCCTGTTTATCTGTTTTTATTCTGTTGTCAATAGATATAATAAATTCACAGATAGTAAAACTTGATTATTCTCTTAATAAATGATATAGTTTTTCTGTGGCTCATCAAATACATAGTGAAATTTTTGATTTACCAAAAGGCACATAGTTCTATGATTAAAAATCTTTCAATATTAAACTTGGCGAATTTGATCGACAAGTGGGTGATGGAATAAATTGGGGGTTGTAAAACTTCAAGAACATAATTCCTATTACTAATTTCTTTGATAATTTTGTTGTAGTATAATAGCTCGCTTGTCAATAATTTTAATTGTGAACACATTCATTACTCCCTGAATAGCTGCTTTCATTAATCTACTGATAATCAAGAGGCTGCGGTTTGTTTTCTTTATAGTTTATAGTATGCCATCATTATTTGTATCATAAATTGTATTTTGCAAAATACATAATGGGTTATTATGCTAAATTGAACAAAGCTAACAATGTAACCCAATAGATATAAAGTTTAAGCGCTCTTCATGAAGTCGGGAAGTCCTGATTCCAGTCTCTGGTCGTAGATAAGCACTACTTAGTCCCATACTAGGATAAAATAGCTGTTTAGTACTTTCTGAATTTTATTGGTAAGGTCCATCCGTGGAATGAACAATTTTCTGAACAAATTAGTATAAAATATAATTTAAGAGACTGTTAGTCTGAATACAAGTGCATATACTAAGAAAGCATTCTAATAAGGTTGAAATTTCAGTGACATTAATTTTGTCAGTACATTCATTATTTCAATGAAATTTTTGTCAAATATTTATGGCATGAAATTTACCTACCTTTAAATGTTTGAGCTCGTGGAATCAAACCTGCTAGTCTTTTTGATGCTCCAAAATCTGTTATTTTCAGTTCACCTTTATACATATTAACGAGAATATTATCTCCTTTAATATCTCTATGAATAATTCGATTTGCATGCTTTTTTAATAAAATATAATATGGTGATAATCATTAGTAGTGAAAATGAGCGGTATAAATATATTTTATTACAAGCTAAAAATAATAAAGTTGGTTGAATAGTTGAATAAGACCGTTTATGCTATATTGATATGATTAAAGTAATAAAATGTATTTAGGTAACACTAGTAAAATAGATATTAAGTTTAACTGATATATGAATGTAAGTTTTCTTATTCAATTATTCTGTATTAACAGATGAATAAATAAGGCAAAAACTGTATCGAGGTAGATCGTAACATGAAAAATCAGACACCAATGTTCATTGATTTACTGGTGGTGACATTTTTTCACAATAGTTTGTTGATTGAGCTGTTTTATCATCTGAATTACTTATAATTGTTAGAACAGGTAATTAATGAACATGAACAATTTTATTCTTTCTTAAATTGCGTCCACCGTTTGGGGCTGAAAGTCAACTAATTATTTGAGATTTTCGGCTAAGCAGTGGTATTTGTATTAATAATTACTACACAGTTCTTTTTATTTCTGATACAGACTACTGAAAAGTAATGAGTATGCTTAGAAAATAATGGAATTTCTCAAACAGACTGTACTGAGAAGTTATATATCATACTAGAAAACTTCGGGATTATAGAATTTATACATTAGTTTGTCATTTTATTTAGCTACATAAATAAATATTACTTGTAGAGAAAATCAATGGACGAATGAAAAATGAAAGAATCATTATCAAAATAGGTAAACATTAGAGCGATCTGGTAGATATAATGTTGTTTTTAATTTTTGATATCGACAGTGAGTAAATATATCCCATTATTAACTGTGTTAAGATGTACCTGTCGTTTTGTTTTATTAGTTAACTACGTAAAAACCTATTCAAATTGAATTAAAAATTATTAATTTCGAGTGTTTCTTTTAAGTTTAACAAGTGGTCATGAGCTTAATCCATACAATACTAACTTTATATGATACTGAATATCGGATATAGGCAATAGCCAAGCGTCTATATCACATTAGGCATTCAAACTTACAGATCCTGACTTACAAATGCGTTAGCTAACTTGGATTGTCTCAGAATACACTAAATACGTACAACTAATGATTTGAAGCTGCGTTTGATCACGAAAAACTGTTTTATGCGACCTACCTTGAGGTGGGAGTATATTTTAGTTCGTAGAGGATGATTCCTTGTAAGTTAAATTCAAGGCATATTGTGAATCTTATTACATAGTTTTAGTAAAAAATACTCACTAAATACTGTAGACCTTCCAATATTTGTTTTGAATAATTTGCCACTGTTTCCTCTTTCAAAGCACCATATTTTGAGACAAGTGATGTTAATGACGCTACAAAGAAAAAAGCATCAATTCAACACTTGAAATGACCATTCGATTACTCATTTCACAAAAAAATGTTCAATTCGTTAGTGATATCAAATTAAAAAGAGTTATTGAGGCGGAAACACTTAAAGAAATGTAGTTTGGTTAAATATCTATCATTCAACCATAATCGTGAATATTAAATATAGCGTTAAGCTTTTTGATCAATGCTGATAAGCATATGAAACAGAGAGAGTTATAAGGTCAATTTAGATAGGGTTCTAAATTAATTAGAATAAAGTAGTTACAATTACACTGGACAAGACGTACCGCCAGGAACCAGTTCCATAAATATCATAAACACTCCTTCATGATCCACAGATCCAAAGTACTGTACAATGTTTTTATGATGAAGTCTTGAATGTAATCGAATTTCATCATGTAGCGGTTGAAATTCCCTGAATGAAAACGAAAATATAGAAGAATCGTTTAGTTGCTCAACGCTATGAAGCAAATTACTTTATTTAGCGAAATGTTTGCATCAAAATTACAAGTACTAACGTATTCCGTAGAGAAAAACCAAAAACGATTAATATAGGCAATAGTATTGACATATATTTACATAAAACAAAATTTCTTAACGTTATGCTCATTTAGCAAACATATCTGTTATCTTCAATTCCAGGATATATGAAAAGGTGAGTTTCTAGTGAAGTTATCTGCTGAAGTGATATATATATATATATATATATATATATATATATATACATTGCCCCAGTGGTTAATAATAACAAAATACACTGATATTATTAAGAAACTAAGGTGATTTCTCATGAACATTTTAAGTGGCTTGATTAAGTACAATAATTTGTTGATAATTGAGTCCATAACAACAGTTATATAGATCTATTCTGACAAAAATAACTTTTTTTAAAAGAAAAAATCACTTCATTGGACTTTGGAAGGGTAAGGTGGAAAAAGACTTCAATCACATAATGATTTGGTTACTGTCTAATGACAAACGTCAAATAACTTGCTTATAGTAACGTAACGCATAAGTTAAGAAATTTCAATTTCCTATCTATCTTTTTGTTTCCATCTATGATAAACATAAATCTGTCAACTAAAATACACAGTTTCTATACTAAGCATGATAAATCATGTTTAAATAGATCAGGTCATAAATGACAATATTAGATAGTTTATTCATGCTTATTTATTCATTAACTAATCTCTCTATCACACCTTAAAATAATAAATTATATTTTAATAAAAAGATATTTCTCTAGTCTTAGATACTCTTCATCACGTTTATGAAAAACCTCTTTTTGTCATATACATTTTATCTGGAATTTGTTCAAGAAACGTTTAATTCTGTTTGTTTATTTCATTTGTTTTTAGTTATGAAGGTTAAATGTGTATTGACTTCATTGTCTGTGAAACGTTCACATATATTTTGTTCTAATTGATCTTGTCTTTATGTTTGTAAACAAATAAATGATTACTTGTAGCCAACAAAGGTTATCTTATAATTTAGTTAAAATTCTTATATTTTCTACATACGTTTAAAATCAAAATATTAAACAATTTTATTCTATTTTCACGTGGTATAAACAAATTATTTTCTTAGTGAAAACAATTTGCCATCTTTTTTCATATCGCTGTTATTTAGTACTATTCTACTGCATTTAGTCAGTTATATTTTGTAAAAGAGATTATAGTAGAAGTTTAGAGGTAAAAACACTTGAATAAATGAACAAATAAACATTTAAAAAGGAGAATAAAATCTATTTATTGATAGTGTAATATACGTTTTTCATGATTATATAGTAGTTTGTAGGTAGTAGTTAGTCTTTAATTGAAAATTGATTCGATAAATATTAACCATTGTTATCATAAACTGATGTTTTGTAATGATTACTTTAGATGGAGTTGCATAAAGAAAGATCTGTGTAATCTGAAAACTATTGATTTCTAGATGTAATTAACATCTGTTCATCATGATTGTTTGAAAGTAATTAATATCACAAACGTTGTGTGTAAAAATCTCATTCATGTAGATTACCATTGAAGAGAACGAGAACTCAGGTGGGGTAAACCAGTTTTATGTTTAATGAATAAATGCACAATCGATTAGCAAAATATGAAAATCATAAATTAAATACATCATTTGTACATTTTCTTTGCGTTGCCTTTATATGTCTCATTATTCTTTTATTTCTGTTGTTATCTCGATCGCTCTCCAATTTCCTTTCTTTTCTCTACATTACAATCTTCTGCTGCTAGGTATTCCACTTCCGACTGCTGCTACACACTACTTATATCATAAGTAGCTAAGTGACATACACCACACCACAAAAAAAATCAATTTACTAGCAATACAATACACTCATTTTACAAGTAATGATGTAGTAATATGATGTTAAATGGGTTTTCCACTTGTTCATGAAAGAAATACTCATTAAAAGGCCATGGGTTTGAAACATGGATTTTAAAATATGTATCTGGATCTACATGTATCTATGCATAACCTGGAACTCGAAGAAAATACATTATCTATTAAATAAATGAGATGATGCAATAATAATTTATCATACCTTATATTCACTGCATCAATTTCTTTGATAGCCATTTTAATTTGCTTTGTGAGGTCCCAACCTGTATAAACCACGCCGAAACTCCCTCTACCTAGAATTTCACGTTCATTACGATCATTCAAATCATATGTCCACTATAAATATATAAATTAAAAAGAACAAATTCAATGGAATTATCAATTGTATTATAATGTGCCACAATTGAAATCATAAATAAATGTCATTAGTTTTTGTGAAGTATACTATTCTATCATGTCAAATTGTATGTAGGACTAGAATTCTTTTGTCATGACAAATACACAATAATAAGTACTGACAAATTTTAACTCCTCACATAAACAGCAGAAAAATACAAACCACAAGTACAATAGTATGATGATTTTCATCAAATTTTGAGCAAATCAGCATAAGGACAGCTAGTGATTTAGTTTTAAAATATTAAACACAATAGTATTTGGTAACTAAAGAAGTCTGAAATGTAACTGTAAACATTTACTTGTATTAAACTGTTTTGACTCCGTTTTTCCAAGATCTGGTCGATGAATTACATCTGAATTTTATTTTGTATCATGTTGTTTTTGTAATCATTCTGATTGATATTTAGTTGTAGGTTTAACTCAAGAAGGGTTAATGTACGCAGATTTTATTATTTTATACACAAACTAATATCAACACGTGTTTAGTTCGATGTGAATGCCTATTTAAACCTGTTTTTTAAGGTAAACTTATTGCGACCAGAAAACAATTCCTTTTACTGATGTTTACAGTGTAATAACTTATACTACCTATTAACAAGAACGATTAGAACTGTTTCGTTGGAAAACATTGTAATGAAATGTAGCTGAGTTGGATACTTATTCTTTATTATCTTTATGATAAGATGTGTAATGTTCTTATGAAGTAAGATTAACATTCTATTTACAATCACTGAAGTTTAATACTAGGTCATATATATTCTCTGTATAATTCACATTCTTTGCTTAATTCAGTTAATTCTATTAATGAACATTTACTTATACATATTTCATTATTTATGCACGGATTACATAAACAAAGTTATATGTTCATCCAAACAAACATGTTTTTTTTTCTGAATTATTTGGATGACCTAGACAGTGTTTGAATGAAATGAGAATTTGAAGTGTACTGTGTGTCAGTTGATCTATAGATACATTTTATATTCATGACAAATTATGTTGTGGGTTGAACTAGATTATTTTCTAATTATCAAATTAAAAATAAATGAAGTAAACAACTTTTTAAAATCAAAATATACTTTAAATGGTTCAGAAGAATGTTCGTCTAGTAATAAACCAGAATTTTCCTCTTCTGAAAAAAGACAATCACGTAAGACCGTATAAAACCTTTGAATAAAAAAAATGGAATAATTGAAAAAATTAACATATTAAGCAAACTTTATTAATAGATAAAGAACAAAGTTTTCGAAAAAAAATATTGGTTTATATTCAGAAAAGAAAAATGAACGTGACAATGCTTGAAATACTGAAGTTTTTATTCTGTTAGTTATAAACATTATTTTGATGAAAACCTTTTTTAACTGAGATTATGCTTTGTATTCTGTTGATATGAACCAGCAAGAAACTGTTCGCATTAAAGAAATTAAATGTCCACAAAAATTTGTCACGAATTATTGAAAAGTGTTTACAAAATGACCCAATAATCTAATTGTTAAAAAATCTATTTGCATCTGTATTAAGACGATGCTATTAAGGAACTTCTTTATAGCCCAACTTTCTTTTAGTATCCAATACCAAATGTTTTTTAAACCAATCAGAAAAATGTTCAATATGTTTTTGAGATTATCTTCAAATATGTCTTTGAATTTACGTGTACTTATGATGCCAAGTTTATAGGAAGGACTAAACGAAAGGCATTTACATATCCATATCCATTCACAACTGAGTTTTAAAGGAAGTTTTTACTAATGCGATTACCCGGGACCTAATGGGCAGTTAACGTATTGAGAACATAAAAAAATAACCAACAAGTTATGAACGCCTCATCTACTCTCTTTTGTCAATGCTGTCAAGCCTTCTCAACTTGACCTTTGTATACAGAAAGACAATATAGTAAACCCCACATTGCTATGGTTCAATGTTTATAGTGATATAAAGGTCAATTAGATGATCTCTTTATTTCATTCTATACATTTTTGCCATTGCGCTGAGATTCACTTGTATGGATTAATTTAATTTCATATATAATAACAAGATGGCCTCATTACATAATCACTCATTTATTAAAAAAATGTCTTTCATTTTGTTCTTTCATTATTATTCTCGACATTACTTTATATGATTTCATTTTGAACATTCAAGTACTAGTCATTGTTTACAATAATGTTAAATATCAATGGTTAAGATCATGAGTCAGTTGAAGCTAGACCACCATGGAAAACCTGGAAGCACTGGACGGCCGTTTCGTCCTATTGTGGGACTCCTCAGCAGGTCTGTTGTGAGGTAGTAACTCACTGAAGACAATGGTGAACGTGTCGCTCAATTTCGTGGATTAGTTGAAGTTAGACATTAACACCGTTGGATGCCGGCCCAGTGGTCTAGTGGTTAAGTGCTCGGGCGCGAAACCAGTGGGTCCTGGGTTCGAATCTCGCAGGGGGCGAGGTCGTGGATGCGCACTGCTGAGGAGTCCCACAATATGACGAAACGGCCGTCCAGTGCTTCCAGGTTTTCCATGGTGGTCTAGCTTCAACTGACTCATGATCTTAACCATTGAAATTACTACAATCTCCACAAAAACCCATCTGATATTAATGTTAAATATGTTTTGTCTTTTTCCTGTTTCTAATATTTTTCTGTGTTATTTCGAGATAAACTGCACGGACTAAGATATGGAAAATTCTTTTTTAATAACATAATATGAAAAGTTATAAAATAGAATAAATGAATTTTATGCTGCAAATCTTGTCATTACTGGTTTATTTAAATTTTGCAAACAAAAGAATGAATGAAATTAGATTTTTAATTAACAAGCTTGAAATTGAGATTGATAAGATCAGAATTTTATGAAAGTTTGTAAATATTATTATCAACAGTTGAATTAATAAGTTCTATTAAGCGGATTACTAGATGGACAGGTTATAATGATGAAAATAATAACATGTTTTTGTAGTATCTGAATGCAAAGGAAGTTGAATTTCTGATGTTTAGCGACTCACTGAAAGTCGTTTTTATAAAGAACCACCTTTTTAAAGTCAATGTTAGCTTAAATAGTATATGGAACAAAGAAGGTCAAGCAAACATCTGTGAATAGGATATCTAAGTCGAAGGTTATTCTCCAAAAGATGTTTTTGTCCGTTAGTGGGGATGCAAATGTGTTTGAAAAATGTGATATTTGTTGTGAGCACTATTGGATTAATGTATGGCATTGAACATGTTTAACCCCACGATTTAGATAGATTACCTAGGTAAATTTTTTTACAGAAATATATATCATTAAAGGGATCAGCATTGATAAGATTTGTAATTTTTGGCATTTTGACTGATACCACTAGTACACTGCTCACGATATCCCATAAAACTCTAGGATTTTGGAAGTCAATACAGCTTATGGCTATTTCTAAGTCAAAGGATATCCAAATAAAATACAAAATTAACCTAAAGTGTACAGTGAAGCAATTCAGAACGAGAAAGGTTATGACGCATATATTAAAACATGGTTAAGTGTTAGTGTTAGAAGATTAGGGTGTTATAGTAAGGGTTTTCATCGCAAACTGACATCAGCTTTAATGTGGAAATCATAAGCCATCAATAAATTAGCTAAGATGACTAACAACTCAAAGTAGCTCGGTTGTGTACTTTATGTTTAACAAGTACAATAATATTTCCTCTTTCTCACTGATTTTTATTAATCTCCATAACGAGATACTTGTCAAAATATTAATCATCCTTTTTATAATCCTAATATAATCGAGTGATTTTATCAGTCAGTTAACTGAAAAGTTGTCGAGCTACTACATTTAAACTTAATGAATCATGTTTCGACATTGTTTGAATCCAAGAGCAATTGTTTAAGTGCTTGTACATTGCTTCATTTGTTTGTCATCATATTAGCGTCTATATAGCTACATATCAAATTAATGGTTCACAGAATGAAAGTCAGGGAATTTAAAAAAAAATTTTGAGTTAAAGTAATTAAGGTAAGATCAATAATTAATACTTACTGCATTTTAACTTTTTCACAGGAAAATGATATGCGGTAGTTTGGTAAAGAACAGGTAGTGTATAAATAAACACTGCGACTATTATTTTCTGTCATGCTAAAAAGAATAATAAAATCTAATAGTTATTATGTTGGAAATTGAGAGAAATTCATAAGTTTTTAAATAGTAAAACAAAGTATAGATGACATTTAAATAGTTTGGAGTTAATTTGAAGATGTATAGCAATAGAATTATGTGATGTATTTATTAATTTATAATCAAAGGCTTATGACAAAAAAAGACTTGCTCTTTTATGAAAGAAACCTATTGTTATTTATGTAATGGTGTATTATGAATTATATACTAATGACTGAATAAAGCGAATATAAAGAATGGATGGAACATTATATATTTTACTAATCTAATCAAATATCATATCTAAGATGTTTGAAACTTTAAAACACTCTATTATTAATGTGATAATCACTGAGAAACCAAAGATCTTTCTACGAAATATTGGTAATCTTTTTAACTTTAGCTATCTTCTTTGGATATGCCCCACATTACCATATCATAAAATATACTTCATAACTGCTTGTCCAATTACAAGCAATTGTTGGTTAGATTTATTGTCTTAATTGATAAATGTTAATTATTTTTAGTAAGAGACATTTCAAATAGAGATAATACTTTACCTACTTCATAAACAAATTAACTGACAAATTAATCCAGTATATATAAATCAAATGAATAATATATTGAATTTCCATTTACCTTATACCAATAATATCTTCGGCATTAAATATTAAATCTTCTTCTTGACTATGTTCATTGAAACGTGGAAAATGTTGACGCATAGTTCCACAATTTTGTAAATCGACTGATTGCACGGTTGTAGATATTGCATAGTCTAGATCGTAGAAGATAACGCGGAGATTTCTTGGAACAGCATTTATATTCACTTGAATATTAGCTGGTTTCATAACGGTACAATTTTGTTCAGTTACTAAGACTGGATATACTATTCGTTTGGTATAACTTTCATATGGTCTAATGAATGAGTCATATTCTGTTTCATCTAAAAAACAAATATTGAAATAATGAAATGTGTTTGTTTTGCAAAACGTTTATTATATACTACAAGTAATAAGCTATGACATTTTAATTTGATCTACGTAAATACGAAACGGATTCACGTAACTGACATTGCCTAATTTCATCGCCAAAACATCGTGTATATCCGTAACACAATTCGGCAAGTCTGTCATCGTATTACAGAACATCATCCGTCATGGTTAAGCAAAGGACAGGTAAAAGTGAGTAAAAGTTCTATTCTCTCTCACTTGGTTGACACAGGTCATCAAGTTGGATTGAATAAATCCTTTAAGGTTATCTACAATATCCCATCAAATTTGCCACATGGTATACGAGTGCGCCTCTTGCACGTTGCGGAAGCCATCGCAATCCATGTTCACAAACCTGACCTTTGCATTCAAAAGAGATTCGTACAACCACTTTCTCTGCCCTGGCCATCAGTATAAGATTTCCTTCAAAAGAACTATTTTTCATACTTCTTCCACTTGTTTTTTTTTAAATTTTGTTTCCGTTGCTTTTGAACTTTATAACATTCATCTCTTGATTCTTACGTAACTACTATCCTATTGTCCATCCATTAAAAAAATTCTGTTCCTTCTCTTTTCATATATTACGCAAATTAGCAACTTCTTGATTTAATAATTACTTTGAATATTATTAACCCTCTTTCTTCCAACTACTCAATGTTAATTTAAATATCCTTATGTAATTATTACGTAACGTATCCACTCGATGAGTATTATATCATTATTGTAAACCATATATATATTAGTGTAGAGCCATGATGAAAAACTAATTGAAAAGAAATTTCTTCAATCAATTCGTTCCTTCTTTAATTACCAAATGGCAAAATGAGAATTTTCACACTTTTATTTATTGGATGGAAATAAGAAGATATTTGAGGTGATGGATATATGCGTTGTGATTTTAAAGGTAAATCGTTTGTACAGATATCCTGTAAACTAAACATCTTTAATGACTATCAGTTAGTGTATTGATCATATTTAGTAAACGTTTAAAAATTGATCTACATGATGAATTTACTGTTAATGGTCTTTTTCTTTCAAATGATCGATATGAGAGTCAGTAACTTTTAAGATTAACAGATCAGATCATGACAAGAAACTATTTTACTCCCGAAAGTAATTTGTAATCAGTTGTCTTTTAAGGACTTGAAAGGTGAAAAAAGGTAATGATATGTATATATATACCATCATGAGTTTGCGGAGACTGCAGTTTTTTTGTGGTTTAAATTATGAATTGACAATAGCTAAATCATCGTTTAAAACCCGGAAAAACTAGATGGTCATGTTGCCCAGGATGGGTTTTCAATGGTGGTCTGGCTAAGAACAGTTTGTGCTTTAAACTGTCAAAAGTTTATAGACTCCACAAATCCCCCATACTGTTAATAATCATGTACTCATTAGTAACTACTTTGAAGACATGACTCCTGGAGTTTTAGTGAAAAGCCGTGACCATTGGAGTCCAATTTGTGTCGGATTTGAGCCAGTTAACTGGAGGCAATGAATGAGGATTGCACAAAATCGTGAATTAGTTGGAGTTATAAATTAACACCTTCGGATAGCAGCTCACTGGTCTAGAGATTAGGGATTCGTGGGAGGAACTGAAGGTTCTGCGTTCAATTCCAGTAGGAGCGATGGTGAGTGCACGCTACTGAGGAGTCCCATGGTGGAACGAAACGACCTTTAAGTGACTCCAAGTTTACGATAGATGTCTAGATAAAGTTAGTTTCCGACTCAAACTGCGAAAATTATATATATGTTTGTAATAGATTCACGTTACTGGGAGTTATTGAGTTGGTATATAAGCAAAAAGGTGATATTTTGAATTAGTTTACTGACAATAATTTACGTTCTTTTGTTGAAATTTTCTACTATTCGAAGCACGACGTCCAAATACAATAATACTTCAATCTTATAATCCATTTGATACATTATGGTCAGAAGACTGCGAACACTCAGATTCCTAACAGTTTCTGCCTTTAAATGAATATCTTTGAAAAAAAATAAGGCGTGTTTCAAAACTATTCTAAAAAAGTTTTTAAAATGTTTGAAACATCGTTGTCTGTAATCAGGATCATTTCTTACATTGTGACATCCACTAAATATTATTGAAATGGTGGAAAATATTTTCAGCTCATGCGATTGATTTAGATATTTTCAAAACCATAAACTTACAGCCAAGGAAATACTAAATAATGGTGTATTTCGATCTCATGACTCTACTCACTTCATCAGAAATCAAATTTTACGAAGATACCTTATTTTAGCAACTCAATAAGGATTGAAACGCAATAGAACACTCAAAAACAGTTATTGTGTTTGATAAAACCCGCAGATCTATGTCGTACAACATATTTTCAAGTCGATAGTCAAATTTTTAAACAGATAGAAAGAACTCCAATGAGACCAGCGATATCAGGAATAATCGGTGCAGCTGAGATGCATAGATTCAGGAACTGGACCAAGGTCTTGGATATGTTATGTAAACGCCATGTTATTTTAGAGAGCAGTGAAATCAAAAATACTCATAAGATGAATAATAACCTTTTTAACGGGATCAAATTTACAGGAAAATAAGAATTAGAAAACAATCCTATCGTTAAATTCTTTTCAACATAGCAGACATAGCGACTTTGGAAACGCAAGCATATAGGAAGCCAAGCCACATAGGCCAAATAACAAACTGTAATAGTAACAGTCTAACAGATCAAAGGAAGACCTGTCCAGAATAATTATGTAGAAGAGTCAAACTCGCTGAGGATCTATCACTACATGGAAAACAAGATGAACTCATTATCTATCACCCGTCGAACGGCTACCCCTGGAGCGTAATCAAAAAGTGTCTGCGGATCCACGTATCATCAAAAGATCAACTCCGAGAACCAAGAAACAGATCGTTCTTTCACATAAGAAAAACATCTCAAGCACAATCAAATAGGGTCTGAAACTATTGAAAATTAATATCGTTCATAAACCAACACCATAATTTTATCACATTTTATTCAGACAGAATGAGACAACAGCAAAAGTAAACAGATGCAACATTATCTACAAAGCAAATTGCATCAGCTGGGAAAAACATTATTCAGAGATTATGGCGAACTGTCATCAGAATTGATTACCTCAAGTGGTATTCGTCAGGGCTGTCCACTCTCTCCATTCTTGTTCAACTTTGTCGTTGACGTGCTTTAAGAGATAACACTTTCTTCATCTAAATTTCCAGGGGTTGAACTTCTACCGGGAGATTCACTTGTTGACTTGGAATATTCAGATGACACAGTTCTATTTGGTAAAGACGCTGACAAAATGTATAGTCTTCTGACCACTATAAGCAACAATGCAAGCATGTTCGGGATGCAATTCTCCACCTCGAAATGCAAAATGGTACTTCAGGATTAAGTTCCACCGACATCCGAACAAATGATAGGGAGTGAAGTAGTTGGGCGTGTCGACCGCTTCACTTATCTTGGAAGTCTCATCAGCCCTTGCGGTCTGGTGTGTGACGAAATCTCGGCACGGATACAGAGGGCTCGACTACCTTTCGCCAACGTCCGTCATTTATTGCGTAGGCAAGAGATCCGTCTACCAACCAAAGGAGAGGTTCACTGAGCAGCACTTTGTTCCGTCCTACTTTGTGGCAGTGAAACTTGGCCGGTAAGAGTAGGAAATATTCGTAGGTTACTAGTATTCCATCATAGGTGTATTCGAAACATTGCTCGTATGTCCTGGGACCACCGAGTAAGTAATACAGTACTAGGTAAGGATTGATGAAGTAATGAAACTTCATCAGTTGAGATGGCTGGAACATGTGTTACGTATGCTCAACAACCGACTGCCCCGATGTGCGACGTGTCATGGTGTAGATGTAGAACGGAAGAAAGCTAGGAGTGGCTAGACCAAAAGATGGCGCGAATCCATGAAGTCACTGACAAGTGGAGTGAGACATGTTGGTAGGTGTAGACTACCTGGTTGGGATCTGTGAGATGATAGCAACCGCTGGTTAGACACCTTGAATGACATAGCTCAAAATCGTTGGTAATGGCGCAGGTGCATCCACACTTTGTGTCCTACCAAATTCTAATCTTCTGACTTTTTCATGTCCCTGTTTGCTATTTCCAAATTTATTTCACTGTATTATAATCTCTGAATAACATCTTCAAACCATAATCTTTCCGATTACTGCTAATACTCTTACTACCTCTACCACTACAGGATTTGAATCGACAAGTGCATCTCTGTGCTAATGTGGTATGGCAACTTGAACTGATGTACGTACGTACGTACGAAGTTCTACGTTGTTACTGACTGACTGATATTATTTAAACATAGTGAACGCCTCCTTCACCTATGCATACGTTAACATAGAATAGCAGTGAAGCGATATGATAAGTCGTTTATATTATTCTAATTAGATTACAATAGATCCGAAAATACCACCAATATCAGCGAATTACTAGAAAAATATCGTTTAGATAAATCTTCAATAAATAGAAACATCGACACAGAATCAATTTACTAACACATATCTAAGTGGTCAATCAGTCACATAGATGGAGGTCAACTGGACGAGTCTGTCAGCAAGAATTCAAGGACGAATAAAGACAACCAACCATGGACCAGGTTATGAGGACAATTTGATTTAACACTTGTAGAATGACTGAAAATGTTGGAAGTGGATAGGACATACATTACGGAAATCACCAAACTGCATCACGACGCAAGCGCTAATTTGGAATCCAGAAGGGAAATGAAAAAGAGGAAGGCCAAAATACACACTGCGTCGGCAAATGGAAGCAGGTATTAAAAGGATGAATAGCAACTAGAAAGGATTGTGCAGGACGGGTTTGGATGGCGAGTGCTGATGGGCGGCCCATGCTTCTCCACGAGGGGTAACAGGATTAAGCAAATATGTAAGCACTCAACAATATGAAAATAGTGTGGTCTGGTTAGACCAGACCTTTGAATTTCTAGTAAAATAATGTTCTTCCTTGACATGACAAGATGAAAAGACGACAGTATTTAGGTCAATAAGTTTTTGCATCAATACAGTATAAACGTCGTTCAATATGACAAGTGTAAACTTCCATGTAGTATCACAATCGTATTCTCGGTATCAATTCAGATTAACTGTGTTCACTGTGTGTTTTAACATTAACTGAGAGTATTTTCGCAAATATGTGATATTTCTAAGTATGTGTAATGTTGTGATTTTGTATGCGGTTTTCGGAACTTAGTTAGGGACGTGTTCTTGCAGTGTCGAGAAATCTTAATTACTCCAGTTTTTCGTGTCCTTAGTTTGCATTATAGGAATTTCAGAGGTTACCGTTTCAAAATATAAGCAGTAGGATTGAAAAACTGAAGTGGTTCCCGATCGTGGCGTATAAGCAGAAAGACTGAGAACCTAACAGAATCGATACAGACATAGAAGCGAGGGCATGTCAGACATAAAAGAAAGGCCCCCCAGATATAACGCCGAATCAATATTCTTATTCTTTGGTATAATTATTCTGTTAAATTTCCAACATTAACTTACCCGATGAAATTAAAAATGAATCGCTCTCATCAGTATCACACACAGTAGATAGAAACTCCATCCAAAAGTCAAATAACTATAAAGTGAACGGAATATGAAGAGATAATTAAAATTGACATGTGTAGCGAGCACATAAAATCATGAAGACGAAATGATAATTAATCTCTTTCCTTTTTTTCTATCACAGATAAAAGTGCAGCGGTGTTATGTTAATTATGATATCTATTTCTAACGATGTCACCAGAGGAAAATTCGTCATTATGCTAAGTTATATTATTCACGGCAACTTAAAATTTGAAATTTTGGTAACCTTGGTTAAGTCTTTAGTGAAGTATTTTTAATATTATTGAATTCATAAGTTTATGAATATCATCAGTATGGGTTGAAGGAATCTTTTTTATTTACACAATATTGATAATGAGGATTTTAACGAATCGAAGCTTTTATGAAAAATCTTAATTTTCTTGATTGAATAACTTGTTTACTAGGATGTACTAAAAGCTTTTTCGCATCTCGGTCTAATGATAAGCTAAATAGTCACTTGAGGCTGTTATCTTAAAAAGCAACTAAACCATGACGTGCTACTGGTTGATAATACTAGTGACTGTTGGAATGAGTTATTTCACTCGCTACTTATAATCAGTTCTTGTCGATAATCCATCAAACTTTTCGTTTAAATTCCACTTATTGAATACACAATTCCTTGAATGTTGTATTTCTGTCTACTTGATTTCCCAAACTGCTTATTTTACTCAGTGAGATAGGTTTCATCAGCATCTTACAACATTTAACAAAATGTCAGTCCAGTTGATAAAGTATCAACAAGTTGGTTATTATTCTTTTCATTCTGTTTTTCTATCTTCAAGAAAAAAAGATCATGTTTTTTGCTTATATGAAATGTGTGGCTTTAAGATGAAGAATTTCTTGACTAGCGTGTTAGAGCAATTAACAGATAGTCATTATGATATCGAATAAAGTCTTTTTCAAATGTATTAAAGTTGAGTGGGTAAACTCATCAAAGATAACTTGGTTTTATCCTTGTTACCTAACGATTCAGTATCTGGTTGAAGAAATATATAAGAATTATTTGAGTGAAAAGTTTTAAATCAAACCCTTTAGTTTAATTCCAGTACACATGTATATGATTTTACTAGCATAAAGTCTTCCTGGTTTAGTAATATTGCAGAATCAAATCATAATCAGTTGACAACACTGTCTAAGACATTCAACAAAATAATGTAACATGTTTGAATATATAATCATCGCTGTGTGGTTTGATTTCTTTAAGGGAAATGAGTTTGTTTATAGAACCAGGATTTATCTGAATATCTTGAAACAGAAGTTAACTGAATATCTTTTAAAATTTAAATTGTTACACAATGTTATTGATGAGATATTTATTATGTTGAACGGCAGTGTTGTGTTATTTGGAATTTGCATGAAAATTAGTACAATGATAACTTCATAAAGATAAAATATATGCAAACACATAAGGTAGAAACTGAATGAAATATTTCTAAAACACCACATTATGATCTCTACAAACTAAAATATATAATTACCCATTGTAAAAAAGCACATTATTTGAAAGCATTAAGTAGCATTATGAAAGATGTTTGGCAAATACATTATTTTTAAAGCTTATTTTTTAAATAATTCATAACATTAATTAATTTCTAATGAAAATGATACTACTGACTACTACTTGTAAACATAATACTTAAACAATTATTTCAAATAAGTTTACTGTGTACATAGATATGATAGTATTGATTACATTCATTTAACAGTAGACATATATGTGTAGAAACAGATTTGTTTTTCTATTTTTGATATGAAGTCTTATTATTGTCACCAAACACAATTATTGGTGATAAATTATTTATGTTTTGTTCAATAATATAATTTATTTCATTACTTAGAAATAGATATCATCACCAAGGTTTAGTTTGATAATTTCAAATAAGTTGAGGATTGAGTAGATTGTTATAAATAAAAAGTAATATATTTGTAATATCCCAATGAGTAGAAAACTCAACTTAACTTTTCTACTCATTAGGATATTACAAATATATTAGTTTTATTTATTAATAAGAAGTATTATTTCTGATTTGTCTAATTATTAATTATTTATCAAATATACATAAACTATGTGGTTTATTATGCCAAATAATTAGATAGAAATATCTTTATTCTTTTAATCAGTAATTTATTTATGGTGTTAGTATGTGAGAAAGAACTTTGTAATTTACGATAAAATAATTGTAAACTAATTTGAAAGTTGAACAAAGATATGCAAGCAAATTTATGTAATATCTGTGTCATTTATGTTTAAATAGGCAAGCAATATATATGTAGGATTTTTCACTATTTGTCAGTAAGAACAGTAATGAATTACGTCTAGAATACATTTTACTTAAACATTCAATTTCATTCATTTATCTTTAAACTTATTAGCAGTTATAAACCGAATACTATCGATTTTGATAAGGTTTCTGGCATTTAAGTATTTCTGAAGTAAATGTGTTGATAACAATCCACAATTACGTAACAAAAAGACACAGAAGTAGTGTAAAAAAACGGATATACGTCGTAAAAAACAGTAATTCTGACCATATGTCGTAGTGTATCCACTAGGTGTTTACGTGAATTTCCTTTTTCTAAATGATCCATATATTTTAATGGTAGACTTCATGACAGAGATAAATACTTTTAGAATTGATAAAATACAGTTATTTATATAGAATGTTTGGGGATATTATTCCGTTTGCAGATCACTTAAGTCACTGTGGACTTTGGGCAGACATGCATTGAAAACTAGGTAGTTGAAAACGTGATTTAGTTATTTTGGTCGTGGGTGGTGCTGTTAAGACTTACAATGGCATAAATGAAACAATACATCTTAATATTCATTTATTTTCCAGCTAAAGTCTATCCATGCTTCAAACCACTGGTTTGCAGTAACTTATTGTTTGTTTCTTATGATTTGCAAACTATCACATAAACGTCATCAGTAATGTTTCTATTTAAAATTAGAGTGTTGCAATACGGCTTAATTTTCTCGATTATTCATCATAATGTAAAAGTAGTCGTCTCATAAATTAAAGTCGATTTAAAAATCCAAATACGACGGGAAATCGTATGAAGAATATAGTGAGTTAAGGCTTTTCGTACGAAATGAGAGATTTATCTAAATAAAGTGATTAAAACAAGATTTGGAAAATTTTTTATTACATACCATAATTAATGAAGTTTAGTTTGAAGCGACATAAGAAAAAAGTGGAACTTTTGTTCTTCTCGCTTTATTTAAATTTATCAAAAGATCAAGATGTATGAAATAAGAGAGTTATGTTATTGGAAGAGAACCTTACAACCAATAAATAAGGTACTGTTGTCACTATTCCTTGACAGTTGAGTGAAGTATTACAATCACATTGTTCCCTTTTATAAGGATCATTTACAAAGTCGCTGAGCAATTTTAGTCTCGTTTTTAAGGGTTGTATAATTAATTATATAAAATTCTATTAATGCAATTAGTTATCTTTTAAAGAATTTTCAGTTGTAATGTAGTTACTTACAATATAAGATTATTTTCAAATAAGATTTCTTAATTCTTTCTGCGTTCCTATTTCTGCTGAATACCGTCAAGTACTAGTTTGAGTTATTTTCTCAGGAACGTGTAAAAAAATGAACGACTCAATAAAAATCAGAAGTTCAGTTCCTTTAAAACTCACTACGTCTTTAATTTACTGTGACATTGTCTTCCATACAGTTTTATACTCGTTATATAAATCAGACTGTTTACCAAATAAAGTAACTGTAAATTTTCATTGTCAAGTAATTTAGTAATTCGTGTTCATTACTTATTACTATGGAAACAGGTAACTTTCAATCTTTCAAAAAATCTTCCAATCCATGTATTAAAGTTGGTTATTCGTAATACAATAGCTTATTTTGTGTCAATTTCAGTCGTACATATATTAATAATATTAAAATATTAATGCACAAAATAAACGAGTTTTATGAATCCGTAACACAAATTTAATTGCACAAATAAGCCTAGTAAATATGTAAAAGCATATTGAGACTAAAATTTAAACTATTCAATTTTATTCTCTATGTACTGGACACATCAATTAGCTTTGATCTTAACCAGATAACAAAGTGATATTTATTTAAATCATTTTTAATATTATTTTAGTAGTCTCTACGTGGATATAGCATTTTCCAAGATGGGGAATTTTATTAATATGATATTGGATATTACTTATAGGTTAAATTATATAGAAGATAAACAGCTAGTATAATTTAGCTAAATAGTTTAATGAAACATAGAAATATTAAAAAAAGTCCTCAAAAATGGAAGAATAATTTTTTTAATGTTTGTTATACACTTTCAATCTTTATCCATCAGTGTTTAAACCTTGTTTTTATTTGGTATATTACTTGAAGCTATGTTACATGATTAATCTAAAATGCCTATTGGTACCTAACATTTAATTGGAGGGATAGCTGAGTTCTTTTTTGAGAATGGTATAGCTATCTAATAGATAGTTATAGTATGACATGTTATAATAATTGACTGTGATTTGTAAATAATAACTTCACTTGTAAATACAAACCTTAAGCTGAGTGAAACAATTGTATTCTAGAGTTTTTAGTAAGTTATGAAATAATAAATTCTTTAAGTATTTTACTCAGAATAAATTAAAATTAAATAATCAATCATTGTTGTTTCTTTCACACCAAAATTCTGTGTTTATTTGAAAAAGAAAACTGTGAAAAAGATTGTTCTTTTACTTTTTGTGGTTTCGCAATTTTGTTCTCTTCTGGTGGTTTACGAAATTTGCAGATCATTTTTATGTTACCCAATGTAGATTCCAATTCCCTATAAATGATTTTAAGAAGTGAGAAAATAGAAAAAGAAAAAAACTGTTTAAATAAAGTGTATACTTTATTTTACATGTTGAATCCACATTGTAAATATGAAAATTAACTTATTCATATGAACCCTTCAATAATGAAGTTACTTAACTTTGAAAAAAATATGTAACATTTAGGTAAAAATATGAATCAAAGTAATTGGAAATGAAATTGAAAACAGCATCTAAATATCGTAAACGTAGAATGTCTTATATTATAGAAAATTTAGAATCAAAAGAAGAAAATTAATGAACAGATAGTAGCTGTTAGTCGTTAGAGGAAATTAATCAATTTGGTTAAATAGTTCTATAATTCCAATAAATATACAGGTGGTTTGAATTAAACAAAACTTTGTATTTCAATTCGCTTACATTATTTACTATGTAAATAAATAAAACATATTATGTCCATTTTCTTATTATTCTAATCACGTTGTTTAGTTTTACAAATAACCTTTGAGAAAACGAATAGCTATTTGTAAGAACATAGGATAGATTAATGAACCTTTACTATAGTATTCATTTGCAACATCTACCATGTCTTACCCAATATTTCATTAGTTAGCTGAACAGTTATTAAATATTCGTTGTCTCTTCAGTATGATATTTTGTATGTAGACAACTTAGTTTAATTAACTGGTCAATTTACAAAAAATTAAACCAATTACAAGAGAAATCAAAATATTTTAGAGTCAATAAGTATCTGTGATCAAAATAAAAAATCTTATTAGCTGAGTGAAGTACAAGGATGGTTTATCAAATGATTTACAAAGTTCTAATATCATGAGACTATCTTTATTTGTTAAACTACAGATACTCAGAAAGTTAGACAGAGACCTTTATAAAACATCGTTCATTATATTTAAATAAATCTTTATGAATAGTCTTTGAATCATCGATATAATTATACCATTCTAGATATTCTTGTGCTAGATGAAACAGTTCTTTCATATAATTTGACAACATGAATATCAAATTGGAATAATCATGACATTATAAAAGATAATTAAAAAACTTAAAGATAAGTAAATTTGTAGTGTTGGGTAATATTTCTTGAAACTATTACAAACATTTGATATAAAATGTTAGTCTGAGTGTAATTTACCACTTCACATTTTGTTTTTTGAAATTGTATGAAGTAAATTACGATTTTAGCTGTTTTGTTCACTGAGGTAGATGAGCTAAGTGCCAAAAAATATGGAAAACTTCACGGTTTTGCTTTTTAAAATCATCGTTAAACTGCCTAGCTTAAGAAATGCCAACAAACGCTTCCGTACACGATGTATATCTTTATCATCATACACAACTTTAGGCAGAGATGAATAGTGACTTAGAGAAGAGTATGGGACGCGCATTTTATGCTACTTCGAACGTATCGTCTGAATGTTCTTGCATTCATGGGTGAATTTTCACGCTGGAATTCGCAGCCACTCTAGTATGCTTCAAACGCCATCGGCTTATCAACTTAGATACTGAGCGCAAATAACCGTTAGCTTGTGAAACGGAGTAGATTTCAATTTATATATGTTGGTTGCTTTAATCTGCCAAATGATTTTCAGGACTGCTAATAATACAACATTTATTGACAAGCATTTTTCATCTGTTTCATTTATATAGTCGTAGCGTGGACCATAGTTAAGTTTTTTTCGATTTCTAGGAATCCAAATAACACAAATGCTTCTGTGTATTGAGAACATGCAAAATAATCAGTGAACCAGATGGATATTATTAAGGTGATCAAATTTATAATTATGTTATCAAGTGGAAGAAACAAACATTCACAATCGTATTAATCAAAATACCAAATTACTCTTGATCTCATCAATGCATCTAAGTTCATACTGAGTTCTCGGAAATATTATTGATCAAATTACTCAATTACTCTAAACAGGTAATGACTGAATATTCAGATAAATGTTATCCATTACACATCCATTATTTAGTAGAATAGCATACCTTTTTCCAAAGATCAATGCTTCATCCTAAAGATTAGAAACTTCTTAACAATATCCAATACAAGCTGTTTTTTGTTCCCCAGGTTTACAATGCATTTTTACATTATTTATACTTATGTATATAAAATTGTGCAATTGTGTCAACTGCCATATTTTGTTTATGGTACAGTATATGTGAATCAGAAAAATGTTTTTATAGTCAAAATTTATGATATTTGAAATCAATCAATTTTTGATGCGCATATATACATCTGTACAAATATGTTTATGAAGCGATTATTAAAAGCCTAATAAATAAATCTAAAGATGTTTTCATGTGATTTCGCAAACGATTTGAAAGGTAAAAATAAATGTTTGAGAATATAACAAAATTATATCTAGGACAATCAAATAACTTAGTACTACATGATTGTAGGTAGGCACTCGTCATTGAAGTATACCTGATATCGTGAAATAACTGATGGTCTCGATTGGATTCACCGTCTCAAATGCCATCACTAAGTTATTCGACTGTTAATAAACCTTCTGTAGGACTCAAAGTTTTACACTTGATAGAGCATTGAGTAATGGTCAATCTTGGCAATTAAAGGACATTAATTGCTTCACGGTAATTGTTTAACTTTACTACTGATATTAGTAGTTTGGTTGTACATGTATCACAAATGATACATGTTATTCATGAGGAAAATTGAAAGTGATGAAACTATGCAAGTTAGGTAGTATATATATGTGTATATGGAAATTACCTATAGTTATCGAACATTTGGAGAACATAGGTAACTTTATCTCCAGCTCATCACTGACAAAACTCGATTCGCTATTCACTTTTCTGTCTTCACATCTTACAAGGCAAACTACTCTACATTTTTATGATGTTTTTCATTCTGATGGTAAGTGGGATTCCGAACCAATAAACGACTTATACAAAATCTTCATTTATTGAAATAGTAATTTTTCCTGCGCATTCTCCAAGTTATTTCGTTGAATGAAAGTAGCAAACATGATAAAGATATATTTTAGGTGGAATATTTGATTTAATGAAACATACCAGTCAGGTGGATCTAAAAGATACATTCGTTCCACAGCTTGAACAGCACCAGCATAGTCTTCACTTATTACGCGTACCTCAAATAATGTGGCAACATCCCAATAGTCATTGATTGTGGAGATATTTCCTTTTTGGCCAACACGCAAATTCAGTGTATTACCTAAATAGTAAGAAAGAAAAACGTTTCAATAAATAAGTAGCTATCTTTTGATTGGACTAGTTCTAGAACTACTGAAAGTGGCCAGCTTACATTGAATTTAGGTTTCAGTCGACTTGGCATTACTTCACGAAGTTTTAAGTGGACAAGATTTTATTGCACTAATCCTACTGTTAACCCTTTCCGTGTAATTTATACTTAAATAAACAACTATTTTTTTCCTAAATTACTAAAAGCTGATAAATTTATGCTGATTTAGAAGATGAGAATCCCCTAAACATTTAAATTTTTAGGTTGTCCGTGATGTGGAATTTATTTTAGTTATATCTTTGTTTAAAATGTAAAAAAAAACAAATTCAAAATGAGGAACTAACTTATTGCTGCCTACTTTATAAGGCTAAAAGTAATTAAAGAATTTAAATTCCGGTAGTTTAATTAGACATATCTACTATTTTCTTTAGTACTCTTGCAGTAAACGAGAACTCAAGCGGAAAAGACCATTTTATTATTCAGTACAAAATTACAAAGTGTTTTGAGTAAATTCGAAAACTATACATTAAATACACTATTTTCGCATCTTTATTTCAGTTATCCTTTACATACTTGATGATTCTTCCAATCCTCTTATTATTAAAATTACTTTCTGCTTACATTCCTGTACTCTTTAATTCTATCTTCTCAATATTCTGCTGCCAGGCATTGCACTTCTGATGGTGTTTCATACTACTCATATCTGCCAACATAAGTAGCATACATCACACTGATTCTTTTGTATGACGTAACTAGATTGTTGTTTTAAAGTTTCATTTTAAATTTATACATGACATCTGAATTGAATCTTAGTCAAAGATCAGTCAATACTTAAAGTGTTGTTAAATTTCAAGGTTACAGCATCAATAAGTAAACCAGTTAGTTATATCCATCGTAACCATGTTTGCTGGTATTTATTGATTATACATTGGCATGTGATAGCAAAACAGTAGGTTGTGTAATGTACGTCAGTACTTTTTACTGTTACTGCAGATTTTACCGTGGATTAAACTGTGGGATTCCTCATATCGTATATAGTTTATAAAGGCTTAAATAATACTTTAATTCCTACTACTCATACATTCAGTAAGTTTACATCTTCCTAAGTAACTGGTTATAAGGCATTTAAAAAATATACAATAAGTAAATGTTTGTTTTAAATAGGAAGTTCTCCAGTGTATTATGAGAAACTTTGACAGCCGAATTATAAGCTTCAGTATATATAATTAAACACTTCAAAATATATGCTTTGTGAAATTGAGAAATTAACTTGAGAAATTTTATATTTATCAACTTACAAATTTTACGCATCTCTGCACTTGTTTCCAGATCCATTCCTTTAATTACTAAAAGTGTGGCAACATTTACTAATAAATATTCATTTGCATCAATCTTCAGGCCTTCTCGGTAGCCTTGAATAGCTAAATCTAGAGCTTCTTTATCTTCACCATGAGAATCCATAAAACGATCTTTTTGAATACGACCAAACAGACCGTACATATCGGCAGAAGGTTTTCCACATGTTTTCAAGATCTAGATGATAATGAAAGTGAAAAGTGTCATTTGGAATAAACAAAATTTACCCACCATTATGAAAGATTAATATCAAAACAAAATAACCAGAACACTTAATTGGTATTTGGTTTATACATACAGATTTCACCAGTGAAGATAAGCACATGTAAACAGAAGACAATTACTTCATTTGATCGATAATTTTGCAACAAAGAAAATGGTAAAGAATACACAATACTGGAATTCAACAATAACATCAATGTTAGTTATCTCTAAAATTACATCTGAATGAAGAATTATTTTATTGCGAATGGTGTTAAGAAATAAAAAACAACACTTACACATAATTTTTTCTTCAGAATTAAAAACAAGATGTCACATATTGACACTACATTATCTCTTATTGTAACTAAACTAAACTAATCAATATGTGACTGCTGTTTACAACCAATAGTAAAACTATATTTTGTTAATAACATTATTGTGTACATGAAAGACGTGTAGAGGACAAAAAAAGATAAAACAAAGCCATAGCAATAATTGTTGTTATTTTCAAACATACAGGAGTTTGTCTGACTTCAATTACGGGTAACAGCTTATCCACCATTCGATATAGTATTTAATGAATTTTGGATCAGAATATTTCAGATAGATTTCCAGCGTTCGACTGATCAATATTTACATATTCATTCACATAAACATTATATATATATATATATATATATATATATATATATATTAAAAACTCCAACAAACATTTAGCCTAACTGAACTTGTTTAATATGTTTCAATGAATGTATTCCAAAAAAAATTTATTGAGCTACCATTGTATTACTCTTAGTTATATTTCAATTACTACATAATGTCTAGGTGAATAAATTTCATTTACAAATCATTTAGAGAATTTGAAGTGAAAATTTTTTAAATCACATGCTCATAATTTGTTATTTATGAGAATCTATCATACCAGTTTATGTATGCACATTGTAACTAAGTGAATTCTGTAAGACTTATTGTTCTTTAAATAAATATTTCTACGGAAAATCTTGTCAATTTTATCTTTTTAAAGAAATAATTCCACATTATTTTGAAGATTTAGACATATTTCATTGGAAAACATTTAAATCTAAAGTGTTTACATTTCTCTAAACACTTTTCTTTTGTTAGTCTAAGATATTATTGATTATAGATTTCAAGTTTCTGAACTAATTAGATGAAAATATCACATATCTGTTGAGACTGCATCAAAATCCAAGCATAAAAGTTCTTGTAAACTTGTTAGGAAGAATAAAAAAATTTTAGTCATGGAGAGTGTTCAGTTTTATTAAGATTACGAACCGATCTTGGTCAATCATTCGAATCCTAGAAGGACTGAATAACCGTCCCATCCCAATATGAAAGTATTCAACAGTGAGCATCTAGGACTACACTATCGTAGGCGAACACAGAACCTTCAGTCTCGCTAGCAGATGCTCCAGATCAGTGAGTTGACATCCAATAACGTATAAGTGTAACTTCAGTCAGCCGACAATATTAAGCGTCCACCTTCCGTGGGCTTCGGCATATACCTTCATCCTTCATAAATCTTTCTGAACTCACTTTTTTGAAGTGTGTATAAAGACACTATTGTGGCAGATCCTCATAACTATTAGGTTATGGGATTATTTTCTTAAAATGTTTTTTCTCTTCATATCCTATAATCCATTGATATATATATATATATATATATATCTTGTGGTGTTACTGCGACACCTCATTTAAGAGTCTTTAAGATTTAAAAACTAATTGATAATTTTTTTGATCTAGGTTTGTATATTACACTCTCGATATTTTGTCTTGAGAATCATTTTAAGAGTAAGTGCAATAATTGTTCATTTTGACTTAAAACCAATGCAGTTATCTTTCTTAAAGAGGTCTTTTCCCTGTATATTTCTGTCAATTCCATATTGCGATATAAAATAATCCTAGAATCATTTAAAATGTCTTTAATTAGGATTGTTCACAGATAAAGTATGCTCATTATTTCTTAATTTCATTTCAAAATTAAAGAGTAAATTTGTATTATCTTCAAAAATGTGACTTACTTCTTCAGTTACAGCTAATGCAGCATCTCGATCACCATTTTTATTTCGTCTATGCAAAGCAAAAGCATATAGATACTGGATCATGCACACATTCAAAATATCTTGATTTAATTTTAAAGCCCTTATCTCTTCTATTAAAGTAACCATAGCATCGAAATCCTAAAAAATGAAGAAAAGTTACATTTAACTTTTAAAAAATGTGATAATTAAATGAATGAAATAGTTTTAAAAAGGTTGATCATCATTTTTGGCAGTATTTCATATTGATAAAGCATGAAATAACTTTTTGATTTTTTTAATAAACCTAGAATATTTTAGACTATAAAATGAACAAGATAAATCCGATAAAGACTTTAACGAATGAAATGATGCTACATTCTTACTCTTTTAACTTGGACACGATTCAAAATTTTTTGTAGGTGGAATCAGTATTCAAATAAGACAAATACATCGAAAATTCTCACTTATATTTTTGTATATAAAAAGATTATCATACTGAATAACCATATTTGCAGAAAGCATTCAATCTTAAGTTGAGAATAAACCTGAAATGATTGGTAGGTCTGTTCTACGTGATCTTTAGTGACTCACCACCAAAATACAAACTAAGATATAATTAGGCACTAGTTTAAAAAATATTGCTGTCTCAAACTGTGATCAAATAAAACAATAATTTATCTTCAACCATTAATTAGAATAACGAGTGTATCAGAAAAATCAGAGCTTTTAGCCACATCAACAATACACTGCTGAAACCAAATGAAATAGATGATAAGACGGGAGAATATGTTTTAGATCATCTAATGCTTTGAATTCATTACTCAGTTGTACTACTTTGGTTAAACTCTTTGGATGAGTGAATGTCTTAATACCTTAATAATATATTAAGTCAGTTGGCCAGTAGTTCTATTTTCTGGAATCTACTTAATCGAAATTCAAAATATATGGATCAAATGAATACTGAAATGTCGTTTCAAACATTGTGTTATTACTTAATAGTACGAATCACCACTTACTGAAAAAGAACATTTCTTTAGAATGATATTATTACACAATTATATTGCACATCAATAAAAATGTCATTTCTGTGACCTATTGCTGCTGAGATTCTACAGTGAATTAGATATTGCCATTTTGTCACTCTGATGAACGTCAATTAAATTTCTTATCAGACATCTTCCAAACGTGGTTGATAGATTACAGACTAAGTCCAATGAAAACACTGTGTTTAAGGCCTGGTTTATTACGTGTTTTAACCACTTGTAATTCAGGTTAATTGCAATTTTGCTAGCTGAATACATTATGTTATGTGAATTCATAGGAGACGTTATTTGTTCGTTCACAAACAAATTTCAAAGTAATGTTTTAAATCTCATACTATCTGTTTTATTTGACATTGCATGACTAGTAAGCAAACCAACTCGTTAGTTTTTTTCTCTAATTTAAGTTGTTTATTTCTCTAAATTTTTATACCTCGCACTGTCTGTATGATAGTAACAGATTAAGAATAACATCCGATGAAAGCATCCCTGGATAATCCAATCTACGGCGCATTACTCGAAGACGCTGAAAGAAATAAAGACAGGTAAATTAAAAATTGTTTGTTGTAGTTAACATAAAGGAGGAAAAAGATTCAATGCCATTTACTGAGATCATTTAAAACTATTTGAATAGGATCAAATGATAAAAACTCACGAATTGAAATTTGACAGATATTATTCGTGTGTATACTTCTGATTACTATAAGTTATTATAAAATTTAGAATAATAATCTCAGAAAAGCGATTATGACGTCCCTCAGTAACATAAAGATATATCAATTGATGAGACTTTGTAAGATCGCGATTATATTACTTATTCCATTTAGCATTCATTTTATGAGAAATTCTTCTCGAATAAAGTTTATTAAATTTTCACTTCACAGTACTAACCCATGTCTACTATGAAAGTCAACTGACGTTTTATAGATTTACTTTCGTTCGAAAGCTCGTAAATAAATTATTACGTTTTATGTAATAAACACTGCCTATTATTACCTTAGTATCGTCAGTTTATGCGCAAATAGTTTGTTTAATAACTATTATTCACATCCATCTGCTCTTGTTAGTTTTGCATCATTGTATTCACTAATATCATTCAAACTGATCAAGTTTTCACTATTTCAAGCTAACTATTCTGTTTGTCGTGGATTTATTTTCATACCATAAACTTCTTTGTAAAATGAAAGAATTCAGATATTAATTAAATGTTTTTGAAAGAAATATTTTACTTTTTAGAAAATGTAGTCAGCTTCCAGATTTTGGATAGCGATGTAGTGGAGCCATATGATGAATATATCTAATATTCGGGAACAAAATGTAACAGAAAACCTTGACCAGACATACCGTTTTTTGTCTTTCAGTAGGTTTTCAACAAAGTGGAATGGAAAAGTCATGAAAAACATTTAGGTGTACTTAAATACTGAATATTATTTTGATTAGAATACTGAGACATACAGAAAGACATATGATTTAATCTACTAAGATGGTACCTTATACATATATGATATGAAATACATACTAATCTTTTCAGGCGTTTTAGCAAGACACATCTAGACTATATCAAAATCAATTCATTCAGTATCGCAGCAACTATAACTAAAGAGAAAGAAAGGAAAATTTAGAATAGTTTGTAGTTCTAGGTCACTAATTAAATGGGTCGCAATCTTAGCAACTTTCCAGCGCCAATTTCGACTTGTTTCTTCAGCATTTTCAAGTACCTTTAAACACACTTACAGTTCTAATTTCATAAATTCTGATTTATCGACTGCATATATTTAATTAATTTAATCTAATACTGATTGACTGCTGTTCACGTAAAACAATTATATGATTATTAGCTTATCATACAAAACATTTTCGGTATTAGAGATTTTCATTTCTTATAATATCTATGATTTTCGTTGCGTTTGCAACAATAGTTACAAGTAACCATTACAAAAATGACTTATTTGGAGTAAGAGTTACTAAGTTTATGATATTCATAATCAACTGCCATTTACTGTACAAAGTAGTCCTAATATTGATAGTTCGACTATATACATAAAAGTTGCATAGTTGTATTAAACAACGAATATGATATAAATCCATCATTTTTCAATCTTTTATTTTGTCTGTGGTCATGTACAGTAGCAAATATTCCCGTAGATACGAAGTTAGTACATTGTCTGACCCATAAATCTGATGTGACCAGAGACTTGGAGCTGATTTAATTTTGCTATATTACTTTTTTAATTGTTGTTACGTTGTTTTCAGAACGCCATCCAGAGTACCAGTGTAAATAATAAAGCGTAAAAGCATTGGAGTAAAACTCAAGTTTTTGCATAAGGGAATAAATGTTATTTAATAGATTTTAAAGTCATCTGTCTAATAACTACGTGGATTGAGACACTAAGATTGTTAGTTATAAATAAACTAAACTGCCAAAATATTCATGAAAAGTTAGGAGCCGTTTATGAAAACAAGGCTTTGAATAATAATAGGAATAATCACTAATTTATTAAGTTTGTATTCTGTCGGCTCTTTGATACATACTAAAAGTGGACAGTGTTTATTTTCCGGATTTTAACGCGAGGCCAGAATTCTTTCAGTTTTTAAGTGATCCATCGATGAATAAATATCAGAGAGCTTTTGAATAATACATTATTGACTGACACACACATTCTTATGCAGATGTAGTCTATATCAAGGCAATCCGCACAGGATGCGTATATGTCAACAAGAGACTGATCAATTGTAGTCCTAATAACAATGGGAAGATGCAAATAAAACAACATCAAGTGAATTTAGTTTATTAGTGTTTTATTTGTTGGTAATGAAAATAAATAAGAGATAAAGTCCATGTCGGAATCCCTTATTCACATTATTTGAGGTAGATATTACCGCCTTTCAGGCTGATTGAAATGTTACAGCGTTTAGATTACGAGTAGATTTATTTGGTGTTCGGTAGCTATAGAGCTCATGAGAAAACCTGTCAGGCAGTTCATGTTTTTCCATTGTTCAATAGTAACTTTATACCTCACATTAGACTTTAATATAAAACTATAAATATCTGTGATATAATCAATGAATTCTCCTACATGACTAGTGGATATAAATTTTAAAATAGAATAAAATGTAACGGATGATTTGACACTAAAATTTGAGTGAAAATTAATTCAGTTTTTCGGTCATGTATGCACTCACATTTATTATATATTAAATATTTTTAGTAATAATTGTCTATTTATTTTTGTTTATGTAGTCAAGTTACTTCAGAAAAATGGCTTGTAAATACAAATCAGCTGCATTCATACATTTGGCTTGAGTGAACCTGTAAGCTCATTTAAATTTCATTTATGGCTCAATAATCATCTGTTTTCATTTGATTAGCTATAATGGACTCCTTTAATTTGTTTAATCTTCACTAGCATAAATCCTTCACACTATACTAAACACGAATGATTTGTTGCAGCTTGGGAAATCAGCCTACATTATACTAAACAGTCCTAAGAGTATAGCGCCTATTAATCCATGTCTGCCTTTTCTGTACAAATCATAGTCTTAGTGAATTACATTGTGCGATGAGTGTATATGTTATAAATTTATTATTTGTAGTATATTGAACGATGGGTATTGTCTATTTCTGTTGTATTTTCAGACACTTTTTCAGTACCTTACTGATTACAATGATAACAGGATAATAAAAAAATTAGTTCTATCAGTTTTTGAGTCACTGTAAGGTTTAATAATCCTATTGCTCACATGTATGTATCTTTACGTTTTCATACTCTAAAATCCTGATCATTCTTTTGTGCTGTTAAATGATTAATAGCCAATGAGTACGATATTTTCCAAATTATGGTTCAGAAAAAATTTTTAATCTAGGCTGATGTTACGCACACTTCCGCCTAAAGCCCCTTTTAGGCTACTACCGGTCCCAAGCTCGGATAAAGGAGGGTTTGGCAACACTGTGGATCATTGTGGAACAGTCAATTGAACGGAATTCATCACTCTACGAGAAAGCATTTGATAGCGTGAACAGGACAACACTATGGAAGCTTCTTCGACACTATGGCGTGCCTGAGAAAATAGTCGGTGTCATACGGAATTCCTATGATGGAAAATCGTGCATAGATTACAGCTCACAGACTCGTTCGAAGTAAAGACCGGTGTCACGTGATCGACTAGATCATGAAACGTCAACATCTGGAGGGAAGCATGGGATACAGTGGACATCTAAGATGGGGCTGGATGATCTAGACTTCAAGAATGATCTGACAATTCTATCGCACACGCGACAACAAATGCAGGAAAAGACAACCAGTGTAGCAGCAGCCTCAGTAGCAGTACGTCTCAACATACACAAAGGAAAAAGCAAGATTCTCCGATACAACACATCATGCAACAATTGAATCACACTTGACGGAGAACTTTTGGAATATGTAAAAACCTTTACATATTCGGGCAGCATCATTGATGAACATGGTGGATCTGATGCAGACGTGAAGGCGCGAATCGGCAAAATAAGAGCAGCATATCCACAACTGGAGAACATCTGGAACTCAAAACAACTGTCAACCAATACCAAAGTCAGAATTTCCAATACAAATATCAAGACGGTACTACTGTATAGGGCGGAAACCTGGAGAACTAAGAGAGCCATCATCCAGAAGATACAAGTGTTTATTAATAGTTGTTTACGCAAAATGCTTCAGACTCGTTGACCAGACATTATCAGCAGCAACTTATTGTGGGAGAGAACAAACCTCAAGGCCAAAGAAAAAGAGGAAGACCAAAGGACACATTACGTCGAGAAATGGAGACAAACATGAGAAGAATGAACAACAGTTGAATAGAACTAGAAAGGGAGGTTCAGAACAGAGTGGGTTGGAGAACGCTGGTCGGCGGCCTATGCTCCATGGCGGGGGTAGCAGAAGTAAGTAAATAATATGTTACGCTCAAATTCAGACAAAACAATTTTTTCTTTGCATGATACAAATTGTTTCCTGCGCTTCAAATAATTTTTCGATGCAATGTTCTCTTAAATTCACACGCCAGTGTTATTTCCGTGATCAACTTTACTTGTACGCTTTATGAACTATCATCTCTTTCTTGAAGAACACTGGGGATACTTAGTTTTTAATTTGCCAAATGTTGCATAAAATCTGTGCTTGTCTCATTGCAACAAACGATTCGGACTAAAAATGAATTATCGAACAACATTCCTATTCTTTCATTGATATAAAGGTATGTTGATCATCTCGAAGTTTAAAATAACTAGTAACCAAACTTTTATAATCAGTATCTTGTAGTAAAGCCACTATCATCTAGCTGTGACTTATAAACTCATTGGTTTATTTAAAGTCCATAATTTTCCCTAATGTTTATGAGAGATAGGCGTCCATCGTGAAAACTAAGTTTATTATGCAGATTTCTTTTCATTAAGACATCAAAGGAAGCGTTTTAAAGTGCTGTTAAGAAGTGCCAAATTATTACTGATCAAGGCTTGATGAAGCAACGAGAATATCAAAGAATTTGATAAAAAGGTGAAAATGCACAGACTGTTATTGTTTTTCTACCTGAGAGAGACATAGGTTGGTTTATATTTTAAGAGATCTTACATTCATTATTGGGGATGAAATATAATGATATTAATTTGCATCCTGTTGCCAATAAAAATATATTATGACCTGTAATTGTGTTATATTTGGTGACCTAGTTCTTCAAAGTAATGGTTTTTGATTAACGTAAACATCTAGTTGTTGTACAACTTAAAACTACAAACGAGTCCTATTCAGTATTGTGGTTTGTGTATTTCCATTAAAATACTCTTTTCTGTAAGCAATACACTAACCTCTCTGAGTTCTTGCCCTTTGTACAAATCGCGATCCCTTCGAAGATCCTCAATGAATTTATCTTTTAGTGGAGCCCTTGAAAACACAAAAAATTAAGGCATTATATGTTCGCTATTCATAAATATATTAATGATAAGTGTATTTTAGTGGTTAGAAAGTTTAGATGACCTTTCGCTTTCAGTTAGCAAAATTATAGAGCGATTTTCAAACGAAAAACATGTAAAGTACCGGTATGTGACTGAGTTGTTTAACTTGTCGCTTATAGACTTAATTAAAATTGTTGAGTGTGCCCTTTTACATCTTCGGTGAACTAGACGTTGTTGTTCAGCTATCAAATACCATTACATGACGGGTTTGTTATAGCAGTTGTACGAAAAGTTTTTTATACATTTATTGGTTGTATTGATAAATTCATAGACAAGCTATCATAGATAAACTTTTTGTTCAATTTATTTAAAACTGGATATCTGTCACAGGTAATTTAGTGTTATTTTATGATGGAGATGTAGAATATGGTCAGGATTTCTGTTTTTTGTACAAATTTGACACAATATATTTTATAAGCTGTAAGCCGGTCGAATCAATTTTTGAGAGTTGAGGAAACGTCGAATTTATCAGAATTTTTGTGTTTCGAAAAAATGTTTTCCCAATATTAGTTAGCAAGATGGGTTTGAATCGCCTTTATTTCACGAGCATTATTACAAATTCATCGACGGTTTGATTTTTTCGCAATAAAAACACTGAAGTGAAGGCATGTTTGTTTATTATAATAAACTTCCTTCAAGATTCGGATTGAGAGTTATCTCGGTCAGTCTACTATTTAAAAACATGAACTTATAGAATGTACTTATAATGATAATTGTAAACATGCAATGTCTGACTAGAGAAAGATGTATGTGGACACGACTCGCTAAGTTTTGTCTACCTTTAAGGTACCAAAGTGCCTTTCTGAAGTATGAGTTATCTGTTTTGCAGCATACAAGTTGATGAATGACACGATGTCTAGAGGCATGATCAACTTATGTATAAAGACATTATGAGCAATTTCCTGTGAGGAGTATGCTTGACATGAGCTGTGAAAGCATGAATGTATTATTGTTGACTATAATATATGTTTTAAGTCTAGTTTTATCACGCGCTAGTCTAAAATTAGTCTAAAAATTATTTTCGGAGAACTTACCGGTCACCACTGCACATTTCTGAAAGTATTTCCTCTAGCTCTTCAGACAAACGCCCAAGATCGCCGCATATTTGATTTTTGAGTATGTCATTATCAATGAGGGCATTCTGTAGGAACTTATCTTCCACTAAGACAGCAAATCCATTTTCGTTAATAACATATGGAAGAAGTTTCGTTTTGCTACTTAAAATACTCTAAAACCAGTTAAGTAAAGATTAAAACATACGCGTAGGTCATCAAGCAAAATATGACTCGAAAGATTGACGATTACTATATTATCGAACAGTTTTAAACTTTCTCTAACTCCTAATTGATAATTCAAATGTCCTTGTTGTGTCTATGTATAAACAATGAAATTACGTATTCATTCTCCGAACCTTGTCACTCATATCAACAATTAGAACGTCGGAATTGTAAACGAAGTCCAGCGTTTCTGTGAGTCCATGTGATACTTCTTCATATGTAAGGAATCGAACAGTAGCTTGAACACTTCAATAACAAATAAAATAATTTTATTGAGACACACTTGTTGCAAGCAACACAAATTTCTTCAATGGCCTTATCCTGATCGAACTGGATATTCACACTATTCTTATCTTCTGATATACAGGTAACCAGCATATTGGAAACGAACGACTATTTCAAAAGTCCTGTTCAAGAACTCGCGCAGAAAAGTCATGAATTAAACTATCAAAACAAATTCATCGTAAGTATGTAAGTAATTCAACACTAGTTGAAATTTACCGTAACAAACAAAAAGCCACTAGAACTGCGAAATTTATTCTTCGACAAAGATTAGTGGCTTGCCAAGTTCATTGTTTCTCGTTAATTTTAGTATTGTAACTTTTATTATACAATGGGACATGCACTTGTCTATATGTGATTGGCTATCCGTCTTTTCTTATGAACACTCTGAAGCACATAAAGCGCACTACTCTATTATTCTCCAGAATGAAAGCTCAGGTAACGATAAGCTGTTTGTTTAATATGTCTGTCCGAACACTTGATTTCTAGACTACAGATTTTAACATGACGTTAAATATCCTTTTCAAAGAGATTCGACAATCTATATATTTACTGTTGATGATTTACATAGTGAAATGTTACGTGATCTTCATAATTGTCACTAGGTTTCATACGGCTGGTAATTTTATGATCAGATCTGATTAGGAAGTTGAAAATATTTTCCGTCGTCAACAAATAAATACAGCAAGGATTGTTGTAACTGTTTTAGAAAAGCTTTTGGTAGTTGTGTAAATCCAGTTTTTCGCCTTGTTGACGTCATTTTGAGGAGGTATGATAATATCTGTCAGGATAGCCGTTCGGTCGCGGAAGTTCGGTTAAAGGAACGTGTCCTAGTTGGTTTTTACATTGATTCGCCACTAATTGCCACCTAGATGCCAAATGCGGCCGCTTCTGAGAAATGTGTGTATCAAAGAGTACTGTGGGTCGATTGAGCGATGAACGTTTTCCAAATCTAGAATGCTATCACAATCTTTTCGCTGTCATTACAAGCTTTTCGAAAGTCCGTCGGTATGGATTTGAGAATGGAGATTTTATTATTCTATTGCTGTGATATCAATCAGTGTGTCTATCTTATCAACTTTAAATGTTAGAAACTAGTACTTCACATAATATTCCCTTTATGATTCAGTTCTCTGTGAAATAGGTTTCCACTATTTATAGGTAATTGTGCTTCTGTCACTAGTTTTTAAGGATAATAATAACCCGGTTATCAGATTGTAAGAGGCTTTGTTAATTTCTTCCCTAGATTTCTCATTCAATCCAGGAAATCTTCTTGAACGACCACTTATCGTCCAATTTAATTTATTGGCAAACTAGTGACTTCATGAATATGTGGCTTTTCTCCTTTAATTAAAAATATTCCTGTGTGGTGTTTGAATGGACTAATGATACCTTTGTACTGGTTGAATGCTTGATTTCGAATTCTAAATACAATACATTCGTTTGTGCCTGTGTCTTCTTAATTGAATTGCGTTAATCCTGGAATTCCTAGTTCATACAATAATTTGAATACTATATCCTGCGTTCACTACAGTTGGTTTTCTCACTGTGTCAAATGTTGAATTTTTATTTTGCCAGTTATATCATGTTCAGATGTGAAGATTGTGTGGTTAGGACCAATACCACTACATGTCTGTAGTTTTTTTATGGATGTTTCGCTCTATCTGTAGAGAAGATTTAAAAGCCTTTCTGCTGAGTAAACATTCATCAATTTATTCCATTCTGAAGAAATAGGCTTCATAGTCATTTGTCTTGTTGCTCCACCTTGTTTCCATCTTTTATATATTTACAGCCAGCAGCCATGTATCATTTACCTAAACTCTTGCCATATATACGTCCTTCAACTTCACCATTTGTAAGATGGTTTCTGTTAAGGATGCTTTGGAAGAAATACTCAACTTATGATACAATTCTACCACACAAATGTATCCAACCACTCGTTTCTATATCGCTTCAAATATTTAGTTGAGAAATCTGACTGATTCGACCTTGTTAATATCCCAGCGGAGGAAATGTCTTAGTTGCCGACTCATGATGTAAATTGTGGTTCATAACATTAGCTTGACATGCCAAAATAAAACATTACTTCATATTAATAATAGTATATCTGCCGAACAGTTATGTGTTGTTTTACATTGCAAACAACTCTGCACCTTGGTTGCTTTATTTTTCGAAATCCAGTTTAATTTTATAGCATCTAAATCCACCCCAAATTCACATATTACACAAGAGGTTTACTTAATTGCATACATCTGTTACCTATCGAGGATGAGCATACGTCACCCATAAGCACCTTCTATCCAATACCTTCCTGGACAATCCTTTCCAGTCGCTATTCATCTTTTTTCATGTCTGCTTTCAATTACAAACGCAATGTGTTCCTTGGCCTTCCACGTTTCCGTTTTTTTTTCAAGTTGGCTCTTGCCTCATGATATAGTTTGGTAATTCTCATGATGTATGTCCATCCAATTCCGACGTCTTTTCCTAGTTATTTCTTCAGCTGGAAGCTGCTTTGTTCTCTTTCACAGTAGGCTGTTGCTGATGATACCTGTCCAACGGAAATTCAGTATATTTTGTAGACAATTGTCCACGAATACTTGTGCCTTTTTGATGATGTTCTTCAAGTTTCATCTCCATACAGTAGAAGTGTCTTGAAGTTCGTAATGAAGATTCTGAGATTGACATTGGTTGACAGTTGCTTTGAGTTCCATATGTTCTGCTGCTAACACCATAGCGTCGAAGAAGGTTCCATGGCATTCTCATATCCACGCAATCGAATGCTTTCTCATAGTCAAGGAAGTTGATGTACAGTCACGAATTAAATTCATTTGATTGTTCAAACATGATCCGTAGTGTCACCATTTAGTCTATACACGACCTGTCTTTACGGAATCTGGTCTGTTGATCTCGAGGTTGAATGTCAACTGAATTACTTATCCAGTATACTAACTCTCGGTTGAAAATGTTTCCTGTTGTCGATACATTTTTCTTTACTTAATCTCCTCGAATAGAATGTGCAGCATTTTTGCAGTTAATTCTTTGTCCGACTTCAGTGCTTCAGACCGTATATTGTCAGGTCCTGCTGCCATCCCAATCTTGATTTGTCCGATGGCCAGCCTGATTTCTTCGATCTTTGGTGTTGTGACAACTACAGGAATGTCTTTGTGTACTGATTCGATATTCGCCGGATCCAATGGAGCTGGTCTGCTCAAAACTTCGCCAAAGTATCCTAATCATCTGCTCCTTTGTTCTTGAATCTCAGTGATGGTCTTTCATTCTTTGTCCTTGAATTATATACTCTCTGAATAAGTGGCTTACATTGGGAGTTTAAGTGGTTTAATTTGTTTATTCTGTTTGCCGTTTTTTAGCAAGAGTATTTTTACGGGATGGGGATGATGACCTCACACCCAACCCTCCTCTGTTGTTTGGGCTTGAGAAATGCAGTAGCCCTAGATGAGCTACAGGCGGAGTTCCAAGTTTACTAATACTTACAATATTCTTACTCACCAAAACGGTTTTCCATGTTTCTATGGAAAATGTATGTTACAACATGTATATCACTTTAACGTTGTAAGAATTCGATCTTGCCTATGAACTGACATTTTCAACGTACATAATTGTAACTGATATGTAGTGTGGCGTCGATTCGCGGTTGACTATGATCATCACTACAGGAAGATTACGTGCCAGTTAATTTATAAGATCCCCCGTAGGCCAAATATCAGAAGTCAGTTGGTGGCTGTAGTCGAGATGTATTTGTTGGCGATCTCGTGGTATCGAAAGAATACCGAGATCGTGACAGGTTATAAGTGTGGTTACTGAGCGTAACCGAATTCGTGCAAGGTCACAATCAACAGAAGAATGTATATCTTTTGGTGCAGTTAAACAAACAATTACGGTAAAACAATCCCTGGTACAAATGGTTATAATAATACCTTTTTCCATTACACCAATCGCGTTCTCTTGATAAAAGTAGGTCACTACAAATATGTGCAATACTGTTAGGTACTGTGTTTGTTGGTTAAAAGTTAATCGATAGTCTTCTGTATTCAATAAGACATTATCGGTAAAATGGTATACGACTTCTTCATTTTATAGAGGTAATACGTTTTTAATTTTATGTTGACTGAAGAAACGTCTAGTCATTTAACGCAACGACTACGGTCCCACCTGTTTCCCGTACTATGCGACAAACCGTCTGATATTTATTTTAATGTCCTCTCATATGACAAAGGTAAATATAAGTACAACGGTCCATGTGCTAGTTTCAGCTTTGGCTTTAGACGCTTGTTTCTTCTGAAAATGATGACTCAATACTTATATCTGCTGAATTTTATTTGCTTGAGTCAACTACTAGGTTGCGGCCACCCGTCAAGTCTATATGTATAATAGACGTCAAGGCACTTGAAGTGAATGTTCAGCGAACATATGCAGGAGTAATGATAAAATCATTTAAGACTGATTCATTTTAAGGATCAGTGCAGATTATTAAGAAGGGAATCACATATTAACACCATCGAGGGGCTTCTTTGAGATCTTTCATAAAGTGTCTGTTCATGTTGATTGAGATGGATTTTAATTATTTTGCAGGAATAGAGGACGGGTTAGGGAACTTTTGTATGTTGGGCGTTTGTTCTTCAAGAATACTAATATACATACTCACTAAAAGTGATCTCGATCGGGAAGTTGAGTCAGAAGACAACAAAAAATAAGACGCTTTATTGACGAACCCGAGAAGAAACATGCTTGCAGAATAATTTAGAAATAAAGGTGTGCTTTCAGCATAAATGCACTTGATCCTTACAAACAGCATGCAACCACACCCATCTAACAATTTTTCCACTTTGAATGGATAGGGAAAGTATCATTGGGAAAGGATGGCTCAGCATGATAAAACATAATGTTGAAACAGAAGTGAAATGTAATCGGGATGATCATAGAAATAAAAACAAACCAGTTGGGGGTGGAAGATTTAAGGGGCAGATGGAAGGGGAATCAGATGACTGTGACGGAACAAGAGTATGAAAAAGAGAGAAAAAGTTTAATACATTAAGACCATGGTAGATTAAGAGGTTGTACACACAATTCGCGTTTTT